ACAAATAATTTCTAATTTCTAGCAATCTATTAATCTAAAATAAAGCAAATACAACGTTACGAAATGACACTTGATTGAAACACAGTTTATTATAAATTACGTACTTAGGACTATCATCAGGCACCATCAGGCGCCTATCTACTAACGGCCTTGTAACTATTTCGACATTGTGCTCTATACGTCCCTGCATTTATCGTCAATATCTAAATATCACGTCGAATTATGACAATTTACTCAATCTGTATATCATTACTTTTATTTATATCTCTTTGAATATATGCAATACTTGGTGGCGTATATGATCACAACGTGATATATGTTTCAACAACATAATTATTGTTTGTTTTGATTTATTTACCTAATAAGTACGTACATGAAATATATATTTGTTTATCATGTTTTATTTCATCGTACGTGTATAATAAATGTCATACTAATTTGTTTTAGCAATATAATACTTATCAATACATACACATAATATGTACATGTATCTTGTAATTAAGAACTGATTCTCAGAAATGTTTAACATTTTCTTAAAATTCATAATTTTTTGTATTAGTTATATATTTCAGCCACACCTACTCGGTAAATGGCTACAACTTCTTCTAAAACTAGAGAAATTCTTTATAAATTTTTCTACGAAACTGATTACGAAAATTATTCTTTACTGGTTCACAAATTCGTACGACTGGAATGTATTAACAGACTATCCCAAATACTTTATGTATCTATATATCTATCACTATACTATGTGTAATTTCGTAATGATTGATTGACCTATTATAACGCCAAGGCACAAATATATACAGCCAAGGTGACCAACAAACAAATTCACTTCCAAAATTGTAAATTTTTGAATTGATAACCAAAAGGGACACATCAATAAAATATATTCGAATGCAATAAATTTCATTAACGCAGTAAGATATTCTGAAACTTAATAAAACGTGCGTATATCAGTGAGCACGTGCGTCGAACAGGCTTGGATAAGTAGGAGTACTACGTAACCCACTTAACTTTATTCCCCTTAGGTACATTTATGAACGAAAGACATATTTTCAATAAAATCCAACGCTAATATAAATCCAAAAAACATTCTGATTATTTAATACTATTGTACGAATGTGTTATAATTATTATGCTGTATAACAGTGCTTATTTTTAATGTTTACTGTAATCGTAGACTAATAGACCAGGCTTATTAATCGATATACGTCAATAAAACATAAATATCATTATACGAAATTTAAGAAATTTTATTAAAATATGAAATATGAAATTAATTTTTTACCTATCAAACCTACTAAAAAATTACTAAATGCTTATTTCCCCCAAAACAGAAGAATGTGAAACAATAGAAATGCAATTGTAAAGGAAATGCTATTCAATTTTATTATTAATATGTTAACATGTCTGTTCATTATTTTTTAAGTTTGAATGATAGATACACTGCCTATTCAGTCTAACCCTCTCAAATCTACAGCATTTTCACGCCAAAACTTTATTTCCATAAGTAGAAAACAAAATGTATAAATTCCAAATTTAAATTATTTTAATAGAAAAATAATAATACGTGCATCAGTAAAATTTAAATGCAAATAAAAAAATATATAAATAAGTATTAAATAATTCGATATCCATTTTTCGATAAATCGTAATATAAAAATATTAAGTTCATCTGTTGTAACTGTAATTACATCATTTCAGCCGTTAACTGTCCACTGCTGAATATAAGACTTACCCATAAGAGGAGGTTTGCCAGTAGTTGCCACGCTCAGCAGGTGGGTTGGCAACCGCATTTAGGCTTTTAGAGATGTTTTAAAAGGGACACTGCTGATTATCACTCTACGACTAAATTCCATTAGTCGCCTCTTATGACACCCATAGCAAAGGACGGGATGGCCTATTCTATGCCAGGACCACACGGCCAACTGCAATACAAGGAATTAAATATGTTCAAAGCACTAATATATTACTCGAGAGAAAATACGATTCCCAGCTTGTATGATTTGAAGCCTTTCCCTTTGGCACTTTGGTGAACAATATAAATACTAACTATATCATAGAATCTATGCGATCACATGATTAATTTAGTATTGGAACATTCAAAATAAGCTGTAGCTGAATTTAATTCTATTATTAATTAAGCTAATTCTACTTCCTACTGATGTCATTAATCGTACATTACTTACTAACATAAGATGTAAAAGATTGTAAAGATATTCAGATATTTGTAAATTTTAAAACTATAATGTAAATAAATAACTAAGAATGGATTAAAAATGAGTAAATATTTGTTTGGATACACACATGTGTGTTCAGAGAATCAATAAATATATTTTTTTCTATAATAATCCAATAAGCATAATATATAACTTTGTATTATAGAGATATAATCTAACGTCGTATATTTTTATAGCTCTATGGCTATAAAAACTATTACTATTAACACCAAAATTACGTATGTATTCATAAATCATTGAACTTTGAAAATGATTGTCTGATGTGTCACAGTGAAGGAAACTTAGTTTATAGATAAACGAATTTACTTTTTTTGAGGCAATGTCAATTTTTCTTCCTCTGTATTCGCTTTTAACTTACTACAATTGTTACCTACACCATAAGAATAAATATTTCTTATTATTATACCTACACTACATACACGTATAATTAATTTTTGTCACTAGATAGGTATATTTACCTCAATTATGTCTACAATGTCTGGGCTATTTAAATATGCTAAAATTCTAGTACGTATTATATTTTACCTTAATTGTATACTTTGAGCTAATATTAAACTAAAACTTTTGATAAGATAACGTAAATTTGACTAATTATATGAAATGAAAACAACTGTTAATAATGAAGCATCAAAATAGTATTTATTAATTGTAAAATATTACGTCTTCTTTTTCCATTCTCAACTCGCTCATCATTATCTGGAGTCGAATCTCCTCACTTCTTTGAGCCATGGTATTATATCCTGGGTTATAGTTTCTGAAGATTAAGCTTTCTTGAAACCTTATTAAATAATACGGTCTTAATCATATTTATTTGTATAGAAAATAAAATTTATTTATTAATATTATTAATTTTCTTACTACTCAAATTGCTTATATTTCATCAACCTAAGAACTCAACATGGAAGCCAAAAAAAAATGCCATCTTTAAGTTTTATTTGTTTATTAAACAGTATTTACCAAACATAAAAAATGTATAATATTAAAGAACAAAATCATATCGAACTCCTTAACTTCACTATTTACGTTGTGCCAATAAACTACTAGGCGACAAGAGAACGCATTGTCTACTACAAATAATATAAATAAATGATTGAAAGTAACGCTAAAATTAGATTTTATTTATATCTTAATACAGTTCATACAATTATATTATACTGAAAGGTAGAAATCATTAATATTAATCTATATAAATATTTTTCTAATTGTTTCATAAATTATCTACGTATTGTGTGATATTAAATGAAGTTTTACGAACTATAAAAACAAAGCTATTATCAGATTATAACTTTTACAATACTCAGATCTCTATTAAAATTCGACAAACTGAAGTTCTAACGAAGTTATAAATACCACATTCGTAACTTCTTCTGACAAGACTGTATTGATTTTGAACTTGATTAGAGACTGTAATTAAAGCAGTTAGAGTAGTCTATCTTCTACATAATACATATAAAGATATAATGCAATTATTGTTACAAAAGTTATATACGAGTACATACCTATAATCATGCGAAGTACAATTCCTTACTTAAATTCTGACAGATCAATATTTAAAATAATATATCTTATCTAGCTGTACATTGCCACTTAGTTCCATAAGCAGAACATATGCTATGGGTTATATAAGGAATTTATTTGTCGTAAATGTAGTGAATACAGGGACGTTATAATAATTCTTACATTCAACCCTAGCCAGTTAGTACACAACAAATACTTATGATATTTCATAATTCTTAATCTCGTGAAAAAATTCCATAAAAAACTTATACATTCAACATTTATTCTAATCAGAAACTATTTATTATGTATATACGGAATATAAACGGAAGGATTTCTTTGCTTGAATCTCTTAAACTACCAGTCTAATTTTAAAATATTTCTGTTACATATTCACAGTAAATTATAATATTGATTTTAAATAACTCTCTCTCTCTTCTCTCTCTCTCTCTGTATACGTTGGTGAAACACCAATAACACATAATGGGTGTGGATAAAAAGCAGACCAATTAACCTATCGTGATAAATCCACAAGATTTAACCACGATTGTTTCTAGGGAGGAACACGTGGAGCCTTGTCGCCATGATAATTTATGTTGCAAGCAATGGAGCTGTTAGATTTCATTACGAAAAATCCCTTTCCCCAACATTTGGTAGTTGGTTAAGTAGATATAGATACTTTTACTAAAAGGATTGGCTATATAAACCACATCCGAGCACACCAACGCCAACAACAGGGGGGAAAGGGATTGTTAGTAAAGGAGACTAAAAATCCCATTGCTAGCAATATACCCGACCAGGTCGACCTCCTCGCAGTTCTCCCTGGAAACTATAATGGTTAATTCCTGATGAATTCATCATGATGGGCTAACTGGCCTGTTTTCATTCTTATCTATCACCCTTCACTGGTGCTCCGCCAGCGTATTCCGCTAACGCAGGCGGGGTTACCATATCATTTTCATCCATCAAAACGTCATAAACAGGGGGAAAGGGATCGTTAGCAATGAAGACTAAGAATCCCATTGCTAGCAATATTAGGTATATTACTAGCAATGGGATTCTTAGTCGACCAAATCGACCTCCACGCAGTTCCCCCTGGAAACTATCATGTTTAATTCCTAATAAATTCATCATGATGAGCTAACTGGCCTGTTTTCATTTTCATCAATCACCTTCACTGGTGCCCCGCCAGCGTATACTGTTAGCGCAGGTGGGGATACCATTCCATTTTCACCTATCAAAAAAAAACGCCAACAACAGATAATCTAATAGCCTCCTATAGAGATGGGCAATCCACCTGGGTGGGTTTAAAGTCTGGTGGGTAAAAACCGGGTGTTTTGGGTTTATTGGGTTTAAACCCCATAAACACCCAAATTTTTGGGTGTTTATGATTTTGTACTTCATCATCGTCATCTCAGCCGCAAGACGTCCACTATACTGGACATAGACAATATTATTATGCAGCCTACAGAATAAAAAACTTTTAATTTGATTTTGAGTTTATTAAGAAAGAGATGAAAGTAAAATGTAAAACTACAGTCAATCACTGTCAGATTCAGAGTTATTACAAGCGATGAATTGTATAGGTTCGATAGGCTCTATTTCGTCTAAACTGTTATGTTCATTTACTTGCTCAATGAAAGCTTCTAAGGTATTTTCTTCATTAAACTGAATGTCCTCGCATTCAGCTTTATGTTTAAGATTCCAGTTATAACAAATGAATGAAATTTTTTTCAGTTCTTTCAGTTGTAAGTCGATTTCTTTTGTTATTATGTATGTAGCCTTGGATACTAAAGGAACGCTCAGTGGCTGCCGAAGTACAGGGAGCTGATAGAATACGAATCGCTACTTTGCTTAACTCAGTGGAACCACAAATACCTTTCCACCATATTAGGGGCTCAATGCTATCTAATGAGCTCCATACAAATCCTCTGGCCCAAAAGTTTTCTTTAGCTTTATAACACGCCAAATCTGCCATTACATTTGACAAACTTAAGTGTTGGCTTAAATTGTAGATAAACTCCATACCCTTAAGTTCTTCCTCTTGAGTAAGTTCGACTCCTAGAGTCCTGGGGTCTAGAATATATGCTGCAAAATGTATTGGCCTCATTGCCATATTGCATCTTGAAGATACTGATGTTAGAATCTGCTGTTTGCTTTCTTCGCTCAATGTCGAAATCTCATTTAATGCAAAACGTATCTTAGCTTGTACATCTCTAAATGTAATGTATGTGCGATGCAAACGATTCTGGTCGCTCTCTAAGTAAAATATGCTTTCAGTGACTGGTTCCAAAATACTTATACATTCCCCTGTCTTCGTCCAGAAATCATCACTTAGAATTAAATCTTTAATATCTCTTGAAATTACCACATCTTCTCTAACTGTTAATATTTGCAAAGCTATCTTATTTGCTTTCAAACTTTTTAACGAAGTAACATGACTTCCCCATCTTGTAGCACAAGGCAATTTTAGTGTTTGTGTAGAATCTTCACCCTGCCTTGATTTTATCAACAAGGAACTTAATCGTTGACTCCTTTTAACAGTTTTTATTATATTTATGGCTTGCATAATAAACACAGTTACTTCTTGTATCTTTACAATATCTTGGCACAACAAGTTAAGGATATGTGCACAGCAACCGAGAGGAACAACATGTGGATATTTGAGTTTTGTTAATTCGAATGCCTTTTGTATATTTCTAGCGTTATCGCCAATAAGTACAAGAAACTTATTTGCTCCATACACTTTCATTACTTTTTCAACTTCTTGGCTAAGGTATTCACTAGTGTGAGGATTACTTTCTGTATTCAAACTTTTAACGTATGCAGGTTGAGGTTTTGATATAAGAAAGTTTATTATTCCTTCATTTCTTAAATTAGACCAGCCATCGCACTGAAGGTGTAAGTAACTACAAGCATTTAGTTCCTCATTTAACTCAAAACGCATTTCTCTATATATTTTATCTAAGTATTTTGTCGCTAAAGCTTTACGTGAAGGTATTTTAAATTTTGGTTGCAATTTTTCGAAAAATTGTATCCATAAAGGATGTTGCACCATCGATAATGGCGTCCCTGTTACAAATATAGCTCTCGCTAATTCTGTTTTTATATGATCATCGGTGTCTTGAAACTCAGCATTTATTGTAGTGTTAGCAGACGACGAGGGGCTTATAAAAGAATCATTTGTCTCTATCTCTGACAGTCCAGACATTTTGGTTTTGGACGAGCTATCTTTTATAAGTTTCATAGAGTCTTTTAATGTTTCTGGAGATTTTGGACAAGTGATAAGATGTTGAAGCATTTTGGCAGCATTACTGAATTTGTAGACCTTATTACAAAGCTTGCAAGAAACAGACTTGTTTGGTAAAGTACGGTAGTGCTCCCATATGCGTAAATCTTTAGGTCTCCCCATTGAACCTAAAAAAATGAACGATGATTAGTTGGTCTGACGAAAATTCAACAATAGAGTGCCTATTTTTTTACAATGATTATTTCTTGTTATTTACAATAAATTTATTAAAAAAATAATAAAATAAATACAAAAAACCTTTGTAAAATTACATCTCCTCGGAGGATTAAACGCAGACGCTAGTTTATTATCGTATTGTTCTGTATTTTTCTCAGCAACTTCTTTAATTCGATTAGGTACTTACGCATATTATGTTAAAAATAAATATCTAGTACACATCTTAGGCTATCCACCATTATTATCCAATGACGACTCTCAGCTAACTATGCACTATCATCCAAAATAAACGTGTATGGAAAATTTTATCCCAGTCGGTTGAGGATTGAGGATAATTGCATCAACATACGAACATACCTACATACTTTTATTTACATAACGCAAGCTAAATAAAAGCTTGTAATAATACATCTAATTTTAAGTTAAAATTGTTAAGTGATCATGATATAATTGTATCATTCAAAAATCCACTTACCTTTAATTATTTCTTGTTAAGTATAAATATTATTTCAAATCTGCTCCCTTAATATGCACTTTTTTACTGCTTTTCCTACCTAACACGTTACCAGGAAGTCACGTTACCAGAGTCAGAGTAATAGTGAACACGTTTGACAGTGATTGTCGTCGCCTCATATTCAGCGTCGACGAATAAGGGAATCCCCAGTCATAATGTATTGCATGCGTGGCGGTCTTACTTCAAATCCATAAACAAAGAGATAATTACAGAACTCGATACTAGATGGCGCTGTTTTTGTTTGAAGAAAGTTTGCGGGCTAAAATACATAGAATTTCATCAATGACTTCCACAAAGAACAACATTTCTGTTTTTTCTAAGTCCGTATCTCTTCCGTATATTTCATAAGATATAAGCTTGGGCTACATTGTTATGCAACGTGATTTTGTCGCTGTCTTGCTAGCAGGGTTGACAGATATACGATTTAAATCGTACTCATACTATTATTTGTCTATTTTTTAATGTACGATCGTAAAGATTATGATCGTAATTCGCACAAAAACATACGACTTTTTGGTTACCTGGCAACATTTTTATTATGAAACGAACATGCTCACATCATCAGTCACATGCAACAATTTATTGGGGATTTCCCCTTCACATCTGGCAGTCCTGCTTGCTAGAATATAGGTAAGTCAGCCACAGTTACTGACGATCGATATTTAAAGGGTATTGTTTTTGTGCTAAATATTTCATAAAAACGTTATTTAATACTTTGTGGATTATTAATTTAGTTGATAATCACTGGAAGTAAAATGGATGCTAATTTGAGAGATCAAGATCTTCGTATAAAACAGTTAATAAAAGAAAATCTACGTAAGTACTCTTTTTATACCTAGGTAGGTAAGGTATAATAAACACAAAAGGTACTTAGATCGCGTGTGTTCGAAGCATTTATTCTAATAAATTTAATTTAAAATTGTAGAAAGAAAAAAATGTCTGCCAAGCCGTAGCCGAAGCCGATCTCCAAATATATTTGGCGATAGTGAGACCCAGTGTCCAGATGATTTACCCAGCGTCGTCGCAACAAAGAAAAAAAAAGAGGATAAAGTAAAAGAAAATTTACTGAAAGAAGAAACAAACTGTTCTAAATGCTTAATTTATGGAGAAGAGGATAAAAGAAATGAGTATTTCGGACTGTTAGTGGCTCAAGAATTTAAATATATACGGCCATGTGTGCGAACGAGGTGTTATGAAGAAATTTTAAAGTATCTACGGGAAGCAAAAGGCCAACATGTTGATCAACTGCAACATGAAAACACTGAAAATTAATTACTTTCATTTTATTATATATAGATTTTTAAAATTTCCTGAAATATTATTAGTTAACGTTTTATTTAATATTGTAGAATTGATCAATACAATTTATAAAAATAATTTATTGGTATTACTTACATATTTTCAAAAAAATACGTAAAAACCTATTTTTTTGGGTGATTATGGGAGTTTATGGGTGTTTATTGGGTTTTTACCAAAGCACCGGGTTTAAACCCGGTGCTTTGCCCATCTGTAGCCTCCTATGCAGACAATTAGGTAATAATAGCAGAGGCAAAACGGTCGCTGTGACTGAAACGCTCAGGACTCATCATCATCAAGAATAATTTGCTTAGTCGTAGAATTGTATGAACAACTGTTACTGAAGTATAAGTATAGTCTTATATGCGGTAATTTCCAGAATAGCTGACAAAAATAATTATTAATCTACTTTAAAAATATGAAGAATGCAACTTCACAAAGAGATTTCAGTAGAATATATAGGTACATAGAATGTAAGCACTTTTGGTTTTCATTTAACAAAATAGCGCACTTGGTGTCATCAGTCGGTCATTACAAATAGTACGGATAAATTGTGTTTGAGACATAAATACTATAATTAATATCTACCTTAAAACAGTTTATAAATAACAATTGTCGATTCTAAACAATTTAAAAGACACGACGATTTATTTTTACGCCCCCACGCGCCCGGCTCTATCTATAATTAGCTAAATTACTGCTGCATGATAAAATTATCACTATCACAATTACACTACATGTGTTACATGTATTCTGTTCATACATAATGTAATGATTTTAAAAAATCAGCTCACTAAGAACGCCGTACTTGATATTCTGAACATACATATATAAAATAGACAATGTTATTTTAAGACGTGATTCATATTTTATATTTACAATGTATAGATAGCATAAGCGATATATAAATATTGTAATGAAGCTGATATATGTTTTTTAGTTTGTAAAATGTACATATTACATTATTTTCCAGAGAGTGTAACGTTTGATTTGCATATTTTACATTTAAAATTATTTGACTTGTTATAAAACTGACTTCTACTTTTAAAGAGAATTATATGTAGCAGAAAATAAAATTGCTCATTGTTATATTTATTACATATTTGCATATACTAACTAACTATTCAAGTAATATTTTATTGGAAACCAAAACATCTTAAAATTTTTAAAATGAAACATTGTATTATCGTATGAAAGATTTATACAAATATCCTATATTCTGATGTAGAATATGACACCAAATTTCATTCAGTACTATTCAGATGATTAAGCAAGATTCGAGTTTGTTACTCGAACCAAAATATCAAAACATCTTAACAAACATATCTACATAGCATTATGATCGAACGATCCAAGGTAAGTGGAAAAGGGACGTCTTGACGTGACGCTACCGTTGTGCCCCATTGTAACGCCATGCTTTTGTTCTTCCATGTATTCATAGTATCAATAGTGTTCACTGATGTGTCTGTACAATAACAGCTACTGCGTTTAACCTACTTTATAATTAACCATATAGTGTTATAAGGCGCAAACAATACAAGCTATGACATTGACAGCCTATATTCATCTCTTTTGAATATTTTTTTTTTTCGTTTCAATATTTGTACTCGTATCTACAAATTCCAATTATTTTGCGACTTTTCCCGCGTAAATTTTATTATATCAAAGTTCATTTAATAAGTAATAATCAATGATAATATATACTTAAATAGCTTATTAAAATTATAAATCTTATTGTTAGCGTAATGACTTCCTAAAACGTTTTAAAATTTAACAAACACATTGTATTTATCGTGAAAAACGTAAGCTTCTTATCTCAGTGAATCAATATGTCTCGGTCACGAAATCCATTCCACCCCTCAAACAAACCAGTATTGAATAGTTACATACAATACGTGGTGATTCATGGTTTATAGAAAAACCAGTGACAAATGTTACCACTCTCCATCAGGTGGGCCGTTAGCTTGTTTCTCATTGTAAATATTATAAAAAAGGTACACGTTATATTTTAAATGTAAATATTATTGTCGAGGATGCTCGACTAGACTTAAAACATATGTAAGTCAAACTAGTTATTTTTATAATAAAAATACTATTTTAATTGACTTTGATAAGACAATGCGTACAAACCAAAGTCAATGAATATTCATTTGCATATATTGTAACTAAAGTTATATAGTTTTCAGATAAACGTTGTATTTTTGTTCTTCTTTATTTAGTTTTGGTAAAATACTAACAGGAGAATAATTTTAATAATAATATTTTCATAAATATCGACAAGTAATTATTTTGATATTTATTACGACGAGATAATGATAACTCGAGAATACAACAAAGAAATTATTCTCTGCTACTCTACCTTTAGTCCATTGATAAAGTACGTAATTAAAATTCTATGTAGATTTATTGACTGAGGACTTTAAGCATCCGAGAGGATAATAATAGATTTATTATCCCCTCGGATTATAGATTTATTATCGTAGTTTAATTATACATTGTTAAAGCAAAGTTTGTAAACAATAATTTGTGGAAATAATTGATTGGAAATTTTACTATAATTACGTACACCCTATATAATGGATATACACTATCAGATACTATCTTCTTTATTCATTAACATGTCTAATAAACTTTGTTTCTACCGAATATTTCGTCTCTTTCTATCTAATTAAATTCGTAAATCGACAGAAAGTAACAAAACAAAAGTATTAAGAATTAAAGATTCTTATGTTTTTATGAACCTTAACCTTACTCAGTTTTAAACGTAGTTGATCTAATTTAAAATCTTTCAAAAATGTTACTATTATGGTCTAGATACTCGAATTTCACTACTATTTGTACAGTTTCTAATATTTGTAACTTCCCAGGTGATTTAAAAAAAAAAACATTTAAAAGCATGCGTACATCACATACAGGAACTAGGTACCTACTGGCGGTGTTAGGAGTATTATGTCTCAAAACTACTATATATAAATCAATCTAAAGAACGTATTATATTTCTATAAAGACGAAATGTACTGTATCTGTAGAAACTTATTCTGTACATTATTATAGAAATTTTCGTGATTAAGTATCAAAGATAAATATAAAGAAGTTGTTGATTTTCATGCCAACATCTAGTGTCGTCACCCAATATTATGATTAACACCGTGTTTACTTTTCACTGTTGCCTGTTTCAGCCGATGGCATGACCTATTCATTCGGCGTGTTCTATGCGGAGTTTCTGACCTACTTCAACGAGGGCAAAGGCAAAACCGCGTGGATCGTCTCCATCCTGGTGGGGGTCACCTTAAGTTCAGGTAATTATCGATACATTCAAATCAACAATAAGTCATCTATACTACACTATCTCTTTAATTCTCTATGCATGTTACATAACTTACAACACTTATTATGTAAGCCAGTTCTAAAACAAAATAATTATTGAGTCGTCTACCTACTATATATGTCTTCAAAGTCTTACTGATAAACGGAATAACATTATCTTTCTTATGTTTTTAGGTCAAAATGTAAATCAATATACGTAACTACTAATAAATAAGTTGTGGAGGCTATTTTCATGAGACCCACAATGAGCCTCGTGTGCAGCCATATTCTACTTTCATATTTTTTTTTATTAAATATATCTATAACAAAAGTGATAGCCAGTATTTCCGTAATTTCTTATATATAATATGACAACAATATGATATGTGTCTCTTTACTATTTTTACCGAAATTTTAAATTATCTCCAACATCATACTTTATCTAAAATTACATTATTTCACCAAATAATTAATTTCACAGTTGTGACGAATAAAATAAAAACTAAAAGATAACAATATGTCTTTTCTCACAGACAGTCAAAACTAAATGTATTTATATTCTCTCAATCCCTTGTTTGTTACCCCGGACTACAAATTACGAACAAGGATTCAGTGAATCTGGACCACACAAATAACGAATAGCCCATTAATTATTGTGATTGACATGTGTACTTATATAAAACGATTATAATACCTTTATGGTGAAATGTGTTAATCCCTACGGATTACAAAGGTCTGACGTTACCTAATCACTTAATGTAAAACGCAAGCAAATATAAGCTCTTGGCACCTATGTATTTTGATCGAAATTAATGGTGCGCAGACAAGATTTTATATGTAATAACGCAACTGCGCATCAATCACTTCGCTCAAGTTACGGTGTCAGGTGAAATACCTGAAAATGACTGAATTGGCCTGGCATAATGTTAAATATAAACAAAGATAGCTATTTCATGTGTGTTTATATGTAATCATATCATGTTAAGTTGACCGTTAATTACTCCTTATAAACATATGAATTATCAATGATGTTGTTGTAAGGCAACACCAAAGTATTTGCATTATTATTGCGCAAAGATATGAATAAATTTTAATTTATTTGTTTTTTACAATAACATATACTTTTTCAAAAAATCAAAACTGACTGAACATCCAAGCACTTATGGCAAACAAGTAGGTGGCCTATTAGATATACCTAAGTAGTAATCCTTCCCTCCATATATTTATTACGACTCGGCTCTACTCCTGATAATTTTGGACAACTTTTTTGTTTAAAACATAACAACATATGCTACAAAACAGATACTTCGTCGATTACCAAATCAATCCTGACTGGCATAGTGAGAGATGGTTCATTGTATATTCCAATATATTTGACAAAAAATAACACTTCCAATACATCGGCAACTGTCGATAATGAATTATCCATTGACCTCCAAATCTAATATTATATTCATAACCTTTTTTGTCTCTTCCATCTCTAACTACACATTATTGGCAATTTCAGGTCCAATATCAAGTTCCTTCGTGAATCGTTGGGGTTGCCGTGCAGTAACAGTTGCTGGAGCGCTACTGTCTGCTACGTGTGTGGTGGCATCAGCATATGCTGAAAACGTACTTACTTTAATCTTCACAATTGGGGTGGGTGCTGGTTTCGGTTTCGGACTAATATACCTGCCCGCTATAGTGAGTGTCACTGTCTGGTTTGAACGCTATAGGAGTCTAGCTACAGGTAAGTTCTTCTTTAGTGGGTAAAATAGTTTTTAAATTGATTTATTTCTAGTTTTTTTTTAAATGTATTTGTATTATATATATAATCATGCATAAATCATTTTTCCCTTTAAATCTTTATTTTCTTAATATAAGTTTATCATCTTATTGAAACATACCAAACATTTAAATTTTATATAAATATTTAAAAATAAATTCCATAATTGATCATTATTAGTGGAATAAAACATAATTCTTATAACATGTTTATTTAATTCAATTTTTATTTGAATTCCAGGCATAGCAGTCTGCGGGTCAGGACTTGGCACATTTTTATTTGCACCAATCACATCAGCTCTTATCTCAGAATATGGCTGGCGTGGAGCAATGGCTATCATCGGTGCCTTCATTCTCAACTGTGTGCCCCTGGGACTTATGTTTCGCCCTGTCCCTGAAATTCGAAGAACACCAGTAACCGAACCAATGCTCCCTAAATCGAGTAATTCCCCTTTAAAAAGATCTCAAAGTACAGAAAACGTTATTCGGGCTAACGGAAAAGTTGAAGATAATGATATGGCCCGACTAACACTTTCGCAGCCAGCTCTAAATAAATCACTCGAACAAAAAAAATTGTCTAAAAGTCAATCAAAACATGGTAGTGGCATTATGCAAAGACCTGATGTATTATATCAGGGGAGTATGAACAGTTTAGCAAAATTCAGGGCTGCATCGCCAGAAAGAATACTCCCAAGAGAACCAAAAGAAGAAATAGAAGATAAATGCGGATGGTTACCATGTTCTGCTGAATCGAAAGCAGCTTTATCCGAAATGCTAGATCTTTCTCTTTTAATAGATCCAATATTTGTTTTATTTTCGTTATCTAATTTCTTAACTAGCATAGGATTCTATATTCCATATGTTTACATTGTGCCTATGAGTGACAAGATGAAAGTAACAAATCCTGCTTACTTGATATCTATAATTGGTGCATCGAATTTAGTTGGGAGAATTATTCTTGGATACATCAGTGATAAACCTTGGGTGAACCGCTTATTGGCCTACAATATTTGTCTCACAATCGCAGGGATTAGTAAGTAAAACATATCTATCTATACTAATGTTATACAATCTAAATGTACTAAGTTAAAACACTTTTTTTACTATTATAATTTTTTTAAACATTACAGGTACAGCATTGGCAATGGCTTGCTGGGAATTTTGGGGTCTAGCAGTATATGCAACTGTATTTGGATTCACGATCGGTGCCTACGTCGGCCTCACTTCTGTGGTCCTTGTAGATCTACTGGGTCTCGAAAAGCTCACTAATGCCTTTGGACTTCTTTTACTATTTCAAGGCATAGCATCGCTCATAGGTCCACCTCTAGCTGGTACGTTACTGTTAGATATCCTACTAATAATAATATATTATAATTTGTAATAAGTCTTGAAGTAGTCGTGGCCGTGTGGGCCCGGCATAGAATAGACCAACCTTACCTTTCCCGTGGATGTAATAAGAGGCAACTAAGATAAAGCAAGGAATGGGCAGCAGCGTCCCTTCTAAAACATCTCCAAAGGCTGTCGTTGTAAATCCATCTGCCAAGCATAGCCACTACTGGGAAAACTCCCCAAAGGGAGGCTTATGTTTAATAGTGAACAGTTAAAGGCTTCAACCTTGATGATGAGATAATGAAGTCTTGAAGTATTCCAAAATAAAATTTATTCATCATCATCCCTCCCACATAAGAGGAGGTTTTACCAGTAGTTGCCACTAAAAACTTACAAGTGAACTAGTAGCTACGAGTATTATTTATAATTCTGAGATTATCAACCGCTGATTGTAACATAATTATTTAATACTATACCTGTAGGCCAGACTAAGAACGTAACTGCTATTACAATATTGGCATACATATTTTCAGGCTGGCTGTACGATGCGCTAAACTCATACGCGCCTGGATTCTACGTAGCGGGAGGGACGATCTCTTTAAGCGGTCTCATCCTATTCTTCATTCCTGTATTGGAAAAGCGAAATAACAATAGAAGATGGGCTGACGAAACGGATATGGAGCAAATATAGCAGGCCGGGACCCGAGGGATCAGAGAGTACCCCATCATTGTACTCAACAGTCCCTCCACCTCCCCCGCACCATCGTCGGGGGATGAAACCTATAGCGACAGGGTATATAATACTACAATAATAGAAGAGAATAATTTTTATACCAATAATAGTTACGATCATGTAAATAAACTAGTGAAGAGTGAATGCTTTGATGAGAGCTACCTAACTCATTCCAGAGATAATGTGGAGAGTGTATGAACGTTTAGTGATAAAAGGTGCAATACAACATTAATTTCCTACATTAGTTTAATTGTGAAGTGCCGATAGTTCAACTTTACCCAAAGAACTGAAACAAATTTATATACTATATCTATTTTAAGTATTTAATGTTAAGGTAACTGATAAAATTGTCATGCTTAAAGTATACCAATTACTATTTCGTGTTAATAACATATTGACGTGCACTTAGTGAAAATAGTAATTTAAAATGTATATGGACGATATGTCTTAAAATAAAAAATGTTATTAAGAATGTTAAGACAAGTGAAACTGAGCAGAATATTGAAAAAGATATAGTGCAAAGCTAGATCTTGTGTTATTGTTTATTATGTAAGTAAATATAGTGATTGTTTAATCTAATTAAACAAATGACACCTAAAACGGTATCTTAACGGTGTTGGAAACCATTTAGGAATAGTGTCTTCTATTATATAGTATTTGAGAAATTGTTTTCGAGTTTGTTTAACCAGTAAATTAAATTTCTCTCTTGAAACCAATCACCAAAGTTTTTAAATTTAATTACAAACTCTTCCAGAGCAACTGTTGCCCTGGAATTTCTGTTTTATCTATATTTATATTTGGGTATATTAATTATTATAATTATAATAAGTATATTATTTATTATAATATTGACTAAATTTAATGCATTGCTGATTATAAAATTTGTGTAAATTAAATGCATACGAATAACGAATTTTAAATGTAAAGAACGTTCTATTCAATACACTTTTGGCAACTAATGAGTATGGAAGTGTAAACAATATTACCATGAAAATACTCATGCTAATATTACTTACTATTTTATCTAACAACTAATGTTTTTATAAGACCCAAATTGATGTCACAAAGAAGAATTAAACTTCTTTAAAAAAATTAATCAATTATTAACATTTTCACGAAGTGCCACAAATTCAATGTTATTCAAACATAACATGTATTGTATATCATATAATAATAGTAGGTATCTATATTATTTACCAAGGGGAGAAAGCAAAAGAATATTAACGAGAATACATTTATGGCAAGAACCACAGGATTTCGCTCAAATTAATATTCTTTGCTCTCTCCTTAGTGACAGTTTTTGCTACATCTACAAGGAAAACGTATTTAAATGAAATCTTTAATGAATTAAACTTGATTATTGTAACATTAGATATCTTGGATACATAAGACTTAACTTAAAATTAAATAAAAAAAATCGTTTTTCTGCATTTTCTGTTGTGGTTGTGTGTTAATTTAGACAGTAATCATTATTTTTATCCAATCCTATTTCAAGGATAAATAATGAACAGCTGACGGCTTTTAGTGTTTATAATAAAGTATGTGCTTTCTGAGTAGATGTGGTAAAAATACTATTCATTATAATATGTGACGACGTATGATTCTATAATGGCCTTAATGTGGACCAATCGTTGGTAGAATGGATGAGGTCCAACGTATCTTAACAGGAGCATAGTCTCTGTTTAAATAACTATGTAGTAAACTAAAAGTACATTGATTTTTTCATTTATTTTTACAGTAGATATAGATTTTTCGCTTAGTGCCAACTCTCCGTCCTTCCACATCTACTTGAGAAATATTTGTACTTTTATTATTATGAATTTTTCGGTAGACTACAAATCTTAAAGTCTAATCTATTCGAAGCTCGAGAGTTGGCGCTCTAGCTATTAATTTCCACGTTGTGTTCAGTAGAATAAACCTTATCCTATAATTTTTCAGAAACTGATACGTAAACTATATAATAATGTAAATACTTTGACTGAATTAGGTAATGCATACTGTATCTTACAACAAACAATTGAACTGTACTAATTACAGATATCTTCGTACAAATCTTTGACTCTTCGTTTTATATTGTTGAATTCTTGCGCATCTAATGCGATAACTGTAAATTGATGTTAATATGCATATATGTATACCTAATATTGAAATATATATTGGAATTTATTACAGCCATTACCTTCCGTCCTTTTTTCTAATCACTATCCACGATCCAACCAACTTATAATATATACGATATAAATACGAGTACACGAAAATGTTAATGCAAACCAATCATATGCTTAAACTGTATCTTCATTTATACGACTGGAATTGATTTTTCTTACTCTACAAACTGACGGTCATTGTGATGAAAAATGGTAATCGTTTCCTATAGACCTAATACTATAGACAAAATACTCTGTGACTTTCATAGTATACTTAATGTGTTGTCATTCCTGAGGACTATAGTGATAACATGCATTGCTAGTCTGTCAAAACGTGAACAAGTTATACTACGTCTATGGATATAATTCATTCCTGAGGAAATAAACAACATCGCTACAAAAAACATTCTCCTATCATTGTTAGAAATTAGCAGCGAACTTTAAAAAAAGACGATCACAAAAGATCATGGAAAGGTCGCAGTATCACAGGTTTGTTTGCCTGAAAAATCCCGTCTTTCAATAATAATAATAATGGACATAATTAGAGTCATAATACCCTTGGTGGCCACCATTGTGTACCTACTGTTCCCAAAATCTTTCAGTGGCATCCTTCAAACTAAAACAGGCATGGAAGTATAGTTACTTCCATTAGAAAAAACTTATTATTTACCAACTAAGGGAGCTTGACACTTTTCCCAATTCTCTTGCTTAAAAATCACAATATACAAAACAAAATAAAATTTTATCACTGGAAACTTTGTAAATAATCTATTACCATTCCGCGACACTCGACAAGTTTACAAGTTAATATATCCAAGTCCGGATACTGACTCATGATACCGTTGAGCAGAGTGGAAAAGGAGCCTGTTTTGCTAGCTGTATTCTTCTCAGTGGAACATGGAAAAAGTCCTTTTAATGTGCTCGAACTTATGTAACTTTGTTAAAATATTTGAATATTTATAACTTCTACTACCTTGGGGGTAGCATCCCCTTGTGTAAAGATTTTCTGTACCTTCATTGCAATGAAGGCGATGTAAAAATAAGTTAAAGAGTTAATTAGAATGGAGGAAGTGCAAAGATTAATTTATGAGCAAGTAGAATACTTCTAATCGAGTTAATACAGTCCTACTGAATATCTTATAGTTGACATTCATAAAAAAGAAACCACAAATAAAATATATTTCAAAAGAATATACAAACAAATTTATTAATTTTAAATTACATTTCTTTGAAAGGTTAACATAAATAAGCTACTGTACTCCTTACATATAATTAAACCGTAGATAAATAGATAGATATCAAGTAAAAGATAATCTATACAGAACTGTTTTAAAATCTAATCTAATAAAATATTTACTGATATTTAAGTAAAAGATAAATAAGTAATTATTATTCTGTGGTAAAAGTAAAATTTATTGATACTTCGTGTGATCAGTTTCTTCAGTATTCTTTTTTTGTTCATCACACATATGCAAATTACACATAACATTTCGCAGTCGAGTGTCTACTATGAATAGGGCAATAACAGTTAATGCTGGCGACAGCTGAAAATTAATTAAATTAAAAAATTTGAAATTGTAAAAAAATGAATAATACTACAATTATTCTTTATAAAAAACCGTAATAAACTATATTAAAATAATAAAAGCGTGGTTTAAAAAAAATTCTGTGACAGTTTTTCATGCAACTGGAGATTGAAAACAAGCTTATGGCTCACCTGATGGAAAGTGATGAACCATTGCTTACACCTAAATTCAAATTGCTTATCCTGATGCTGACCAGAAACATCGCAGAATACACTGTGACGCCCAAAGTACCTAATGCCTTGCTATTTCTTAAAACTAAGATGTTATATCTCCCAACCCTGTAATTTCCCTATCAAAACCCACCCTTCAAATCTACTTTAAAACTTGATCTTGTAAAATGAATAAAACATAATACAGTTTCATTCATTTTACAAGATCAATTTGGAAACTGATTTTTATGAATCTTTTTTTAATGGAAAATATTTAAAAATTTAATCTCTTGTTGGTCCATGCCAATTTTCAATTCAAATATATGTATATATTGTATTGCCCTTTATATTGTAAATTACGAAAATGTATTAAAACATATTTAATGGAAACGCGAACGAAAAAAAAAATTTTTGTGATATGACAAAACGCTAACTATACACACAATTCCCATTCCTCTGCAACATATATAAAAGACTATTTCTTACCCAATTTAGCCACATAGCACAATTTATAAATGTCAGATACAGTGACGAACTAATAGGCAGTATGTTCTTAACTAATAGCTGCTGGAGCAATATCCGGCCTCGGATAAAAGCGATCGGCATCCAACAGAGCAGGTTCACTGTAGTTATGACTATGACATTCTATAAAAAATACAAAATTAAATAGGCAGCTGACTATGACAATCTGGCTTAAATCATAACTAGACATTTTGAATGGCATCTCCGTATATGTATTAAGAGATTCAGGCTCGAATCCCCTCCAATCGAGTTGTCGGAAGATTATATTTTTGAAGTGGTATACTATACCAGTTTTCAAAAAATACTTTTAAATTAATCCTTTAATATATCGTCATAGTCGTAGAATAGTGACGGATCTTTATATGTAATCTTCGTCAGATCCGTCAGTATTTTTTTTATTTTTTTTTTGTGATGGGTGAAAATGGTATGGTAATCCCGCCTGCACTAACGGGATACCCTGGCGGAGCACCAGTGAAGGGTGATAGATGAGAATGAAAACAGGCCAGTTAGCCCATTATGATGACTTCATCAGGAATTAATCATGATAGTTTCCAGGGGGAACCGCGAGGAGGTCGACCTGGTTGGGTATATTGCTAGCAATGGGATTCTCAGTCTCCATTACTAACAACCCCTTCCCCCCGATCCGTCAGTATTCTACGACCATGACGATATGAAACCTACAATGCCACAAACAAGTACATACAAAAATAAGCTTAACTTATGCAGTGGTTAAAGACCAAGTATATGAGATATTAAAGTCAATAGAGAGGCAAAAAGAAGAAAAGGTTATCAATTGAACAACAATATATTCTTTTAAATTTTATTTTATGTGTCCTTGAAGTTCGAAACTATTTTGATAATGATTCTATGTACCATTTTTCCACACTCATTATGACATGATAGATGATAGCTTTTTGGAAAATTCTTAAAATATTTGAGCTTAGTGTTTACAACACTTTGGAAAGAATTTAAATATTTTACCTTTGTAAACTGGATTTGTCCTTCACTGGTTTTGTTAGAATGTCTCTTTTCCAGTAAATGGGCCCAAAATAACATCATAACCCTAAAATAAAAAGACTTTTACTAACTACATTGTATTTATACCTATAATATTAATATACGTAAGTAAATATGTCACCACATGTTCACTCAACCTGTGTTCCTATAAATAGCCTTTTCAATATTTATAGGCGCATAATAAAATCTGTTTTATAAACCTATATACGTATAGAAATCAATAAAATGCTTTAATTAAATAATAATTATTTAAATACCTACATCATTATTGCAGGCTTGATACTTCGAAGAAAGAATATAATCAAGATGACGTATTTCTCATAGCCCTCGGGCAATATCATGTCGAAAGTGCAAGAACTGCATGTAAAATCATACCAATAACCCCCGTAACCAAAAACAGGGGCATATGTGTACAGAGTAGTAAAAAACAATGAACTAAACAAATACAGTAAGTAGTGTTTCTTCTGTATCAGCCAATCTGAAAATAATTAATAATTTATCAATAAATTAATTAGTGCAAAATATGCTCCATATTTGTTAAAATCTATGTTATTCTTAATACTAAATACCGTTATATTGACATAAAATATGTTCAATATCATCATCATCATTTCAGTCGTTAACTGTCCACTGCTAAACATAAACCAGTTTTGGCAGTAGTTTTCATGCTTAGCAAGCGGGTTGGCAACCGCCGTTAGGCTTTTAGAGATGTTTTAAGAGGAACGCTGCTGCCCAAACTTTATTAAGTTCCCTTAGTCGCCTATTACGACATCCTCAGGAAAGGAAGGGGTTATATGCCGGGACCACACGGCCACTTAATATACAGGTACGTATATATTGTATACATTTCATGATGGCAACGAAAGTGAATTGTTTCACTTTCATACTTTATGGACCTCACTGCCTGATAATGTATACAAAAAAAATATTTTAAAATCATTAAAAATGAACTTTAAGTAAATAAATATAAAACTATGATATTACCATTAGCAGTATACCGAGCAAGAACAAATCTCTCAATACAAACATGATTAAGACTTTCAACTTCTAGTATAGCAAAGAAAGTCTCATAGAGCGCGAACATTATACAAGAAAATATTTGTAATTCGAACCAGCTGTAATAAAAAACATATTATAAATGAACATTGCATTCATTTTTACAATAAACCCCTAATTCTGTATTGTTATTTCATTAGCGAATAATCGTTTTAAATTAGTTATAAATACAGTTATGTCTTTATAGACAACTGGCCAAGTAGCGGTCATGTAGATTATGTTTAGACTGTGAAATAACGTATGCTTTATGGTTTTTTTTGTTTAAATAATTTTAATTACAAATAAAAAATATAAATTAATAAAAAACATATTACTTATCTAGATACTTGAACATAGGCAGATAGGCTAAAGTTGCAACTACGTTCCTCACTCCTGCTACCACCGTAAAGATTGTTAGATTGCGATAACTCAAGTCATACCATAACCTTGACGAAACGAGAGCTATATTCACCCAACAATTCAGTATCAATGAAACTAAACCTGAAAATAAAGAACATCATTAAAATATAAATTATTTATTTATAAACGTTTAAAGAAGTTTGTAGTAAAATTGTGTTTGTCAAGTTTGTTCTATTTTTCTACAACTGAATTGACATAACATTTTAAAATATTTTTGCACAACTCTACTAAGTATCTAAGTGTCTGGTATGAATACTTACTATAATAATAAACGATTTAAAACCAGACAACAAATATCAGGGGATTTACCCCGAATATTCAGCCCTGAGTCAATTTAAGAAAAGTTCATTTCTCGAATTAACTGTGACTTGGACCCACCTTGTATTCACATTTACATAAAGTTATTTTGTTTCACCTTTCCATTATGTATATCTCCTCAATCCACTTCAAATACGCATACAGTGCAACGCGGAATGGAATAAATTAAATTACTAAGAAATTAATTTATCATATCTAAAAACAATCATTTGCAATAATTAATTTTAAAAGCTTTAAGAACAGACTACGTTACCTGTAAAGGCTAATCCCTGATGAAGGACAGACCTTGAATTTTCATCGTAATAATCCTTCCAAATGCATTGATCTACAACTTTCTTATCATCCAGAAGAAAATATAAAAGTAGACTACTACTCATTTTGAATGACAGTTGATGTTCAATAAAACTTTTTGTACAAATTACTAACTAAATAAAAAAGCAGCAATCTTTAGTGCGTTACAGGCGACGAATAACAATATACTTTGCTTGACCATACTTACCTCAGATACATAGATACTACGCATCTCACATTACATCTTCTGTTCAACTACTAACAAGTTATGTTACGCTCTGTTATTTTATATTGTCCTGAACAATATAACTTGTTTCAATTATAGTTTAAAATAAAACTGTGGATTCAATGAAAAATTAAAATGGATTACTACATTCAATTCGTGCTTAGGACATAATAAAAAAAATGGTAAATAATGTGCTTATTATTAAAAATGTCTTATTTATTACAACATAGAGGATATTATAATACAACATTTCGTTTAGACCATCACTACAATTTCATCTGACAATCCTCCAACGGCCGGGGAACCTCAAGTTCAGTCTTCTGGGAGCGGAACGCGTCCTCTTGGGGTCACAGTCTTGTCTTCTGGAGACGTAACTCTGTCTGGTTATGCACTATTGAAAAGTTTCGCTTGTTCTGGGTGCAGCAACGCGTAATTTCTACGCATACGCCCAAGGAGCGCAGCGCGTAATCTGTCGTCACAAATTAGGTAGCACAGAACAGGTATACTGGTTGCTGCCTGTAACAACATATATAAATATTATGTAAAAAAAAACAATATTATTCAAAGCATTATTAATTTTAATGTTATAAATTATTATTTACTTTTAACTTAAAATTTTTATGCTCCAAGAAAAATTCATAGTAATCACTATTAACTACAAGGATTATTCAAATCTATTCTGAACTGGCACCTTAATTATTATAAGTGTTAAGTGGTATAAAGAATGCGGAAAGCATTCTGTGACATTCTTGACTATAAACAACGATTACTAGTTTATGTCAAATAAGCTTACCTCAGCAGCTATCGGTGCTATGAGTGCCAGAGCGGGGGGTACGTGAGGTCTGTACCCATATGCCAATAAAGGTACCCATTGCCATATTGTTAGGACAGCACTTGGAATCCATAACGCTAGTGTTGCAACACACAGTGCGTGAGCACTCTGTAACATTGCAATTTGCCATAATATTATCTCTTGGTTAAGTAAGTAATAAAATAGTCAATAACTAAATCAACCCCTCTCCACACCAAATCCTTTCCAAAATATCATAGGTAATGTCGTTTTAGCAAATGATATAAATTTTCTACAAACGTACATAATGTCATACAAAAACACTGGATCTAAATTTAGCCTCAAGTTCTAGTAATGAGCGTGAACTTTAGAGTTGATGGAGTATAATACTTTCGTTACAAAAAAATTGGCATATTTGCACAAAGTTTTAACTAATATACATTAATTAATAAATACACTGAGTGATCGTTTAGTATGAATGCAATCACAATTTTTTTTACAATGACACTAGATGGTGACACTTATCAAATTTAAACGTACATCCGAAGAAAATACATATTGTTGCTAGCAACAGTAGAGTTTACGAAGATTAAAAAGGTACAAACTTTTACTTAAAGTTTGTAGTTAAAAAGTATTCATACAACTGCTATTTAAACCACTCAAGTAATTTATTCGAGAAATGAAGAAAAACACAGAAATATAAAATTGCTTAGGTAGACATAACCGCCATATGTCAATTCCATACATTTTGCTATAAAAATGTCGCCACTAGAAATGTATTTTATGTAAAGTAATAGTACACATTTGATTTTCTTTACCTTTGTAAGACGCTTCTGTTCCCTTTGCTGTTCACTTCTATAATATATTTTCTCAAGTCGAACAGCTTTTCCCATATAATAAAAACTGAAAAAAAAATAATCCACTTAATAAACACGTATATAAAATCAAAATAATATTTAATTTGAAGACTTTAAACTGACATTGCAATAATCGGAACCACTCCACATACTATGACGTATGGTATACTAAAGCCGATGTGTTTCATTCCTGATGCAAGTGACGGCCATAGTAAAGTGCAAGATGTACCCGTAGTATCACAAGAGTACAATCCGTAACCAAACAGTGGCGGCGTGGCGAACACTACTGAACTAAACCAACACGCACCAATCAGTATCCAATACACTTGGAGATATAGGGATTTTTCTGAAACAATAACATATATGTACGTAGTTAGTACTTTTTATAAAATACTGTAAATCACAAAAAAAATGTACTTTATTTAATTGAGAAAAAGTTAACCGAAATTAGATAATGTCTATAAACAACTACATAATGATTAAAGTTTATTAATTGATAAATGGACTGCCCATTTACTAATTACTCAAAAAGGGTCCTGGCGTAAAGATCTACTTAAATAAATTTCTTTATAATACTAGAAAATCTATAAATACAATACTTTAAATAGGCCTTATTTGAAACAAATTTAATTTGTTGTATGTGAAGTAAAAACAACCAACCTTGTCTGTAGAATTTTGCTTGCAAATATCTCTCTAATACAATGGCGAATAAAGCGTACATTTGAAAAATGCCAAGGAATTGGTTCAAAAACGCAAATAGTTGGCAACACGCTGGACCAAATAACCATCTAAAACAATATTACACTGTCACATGAAAATTAAAAAAAAAAAAAATTTACTTTAAAGTTATCAATATCAACTACTGTAAGTTTTAATGTCTTTAAAATTAATAACATTTATATGGGAGGGATTGAAAATATATAATATATATATTTTCTACTTTTAGTATTATTACATTATTTCACAAAAACACATATGCTAACAACTGCTTTCTCAGATGGAATAAACAAATTAGAGATATTTATCAAATTATTTTATAACATTTGGTTGATAATCAACCAGACTAACCTTTTTGCTAGAGCTGATGTTCCTGAAAATGGAAATCCTAAGAGATTCCTGCCGAGCGATGCAGAACAGAGATTAAGTACTAGTATATGACTCTTGAATATGAGCAGGTGGCTATGAATGAACGTGGCAAACAGCCAACCGTTTAGCAGCACCCCGAATACACCTGTCAAAATAATGATATTACGGCGAGGTAAAAGTATTTATATTAAATTATAACTAAACGTTACTATTTTTAAATGACTGTAATGATCCAGTAATATCATCCAGTACTTTCCACAAGCTATATTAATACCTGCAACTTCAGGGATATCACGCTATGTTTGTTAAAATACTTGTCTTAATTTTAGTTTTGGACATTTGTGTTAGTTCATTTCAAAAAAAAATAATTTGTTCAAATAACTTTTCAGGTACTAAATGTAAACTGGACCTATACAGAATTAACTGCTGAATCATATTAAATTATTGCATTTTTATAAAAAGAAAAGAGAATATATAGATAAGTAATTTAAAATTATAGTTTTATCCCCTCCTGACACACATCGTGCTAATGTAATGAAAGTGATGAATAGCCATGTCCTTGTCTTAGACATCGATAGTTTTCAGAGGATATTTCTACCTCGACATAACTTAAAAATGTCCTTATTTGTGTCTGATCATCCATTCGTTAATACTAACCAAATATTATTAGACAAGCGCCGAGCAACGTTTTGTAGGAACCGTCGAAGTAATACCACGGACACTCGTCCTCCGGATAATCGAACATTCTCGTAACGCTACTTTTTAATCACTGATACTCAGGCACCAACCAAAAAACCACAATATTCAGGACATTTATTACTTCATTTAGCTCAATTTTTCGCTGAATATGACGTCCACATTGGACAAGAGGACATTGAGACTGGTCAGGTTGTCGAACCAACAAGATTCATCACAAAGGATGATATCGTGTTACTCGTCCTGACGCCACTTTGTGCGTGGCATTGGGGGCGTGAACGTCCGTGGTACGCTTAACAACTACCTCTTACTTGAAACTTTCAGATTTTCACAGTCACCTTTACGATTTTGCATATTAAATTGTATATAGTAATTCATTTGAAATTAATACATAATTGACGGGTTCTTACCACAACTATTTGATTATTTGATCAAGGCGATATTTCGATGTTATTACAGGAGTTATGATCTTAACATAAATGTAACTCTTGAAATGCAAGTATGTTCTATTTTAATGTAAAAACAAGCTTTTATTAACATATGTATATTTTAATCGAGAATGATCAACTAGTTTCGGGACCATTCAGGACCTTAATCATAAGTGGCCATACATGGCGAGTATGTTTGCTGACAGACTTTTTTCTGCGTTTATAGTAACTCTATGATATTTTTAAAGAGAAAATTTGATACGTAATGGTAGAGAACAAAGACAAAAAAGTTATAAACCTTTGAGAATAGAATGCTATAAGGCGAAATCGATCAGATAATGTTATCGATATAACTGTGAACCGCCGAACTTGCTTATCATTAGATTATTTTATTCTCTTTATTTAAAAGATTTACCTTTTCGATAAAACAAATAATTAAAATTGATTCGTAACTGAGAAATATTTGAAAATGAAAATAACTAGCTAAAGACACCCTCAAAAATTCATAATATGTAATTTAATATAGAGTGTCTACTTCATGTTCTTTGTTATTCCATAATAATTATACAAATAACAGAATCTTATCTAATATCACAGTAGGTAGAAGACCGACTCAAAACAATAGTCAGTGTTGCATTATGCAAGCCACTATTCGTATTATAAGGAAACAATTACTAATACTGTCCTGAACATACTGTATACCTAATAGAGTATTTAAACAACAAAGTTACAATAGGTACAATAGTGGTATTAAACAGAACTACCGTTATAGGTGATTAATTGCATACGTGATAGTTATTATTAGATCTTAGCGCTTCTTTCTAGTTTAACCTATTTTTATTTATGCATTAAAAATACCTCGCGTGGGCGAAGTAATATTAGGAATAAATTTGCTCCTTCAGCAAATTTTATAACATAAAGCTAACATGTAGATACTATACTCAAATCAGAATTACAAATAACTATAAATAGATACCTACAATGCGCATTTACGTAATTTTAATAATTAAACACTACAAAAAATAATATTTCATTTGCATATTTTCTTACTTATTAAGATTAAAATTTATATATTAAATACCCATATCACTATAATTAATCTCAAATTATACACATCTTAAAGAGTAGATAGACATTGATAATAAATTTACGTTTAACATTCTATAAAAAGAGCATTCTACAGCGAATGCTTTATTTCTAACAAATTGAAACTAACGTTTCCGTATTCGTAAACTAACACTCCCTAACCAGTCGTCAGATATTTTTGTATATTTGACCTGAGCTCAATGCGTTTACTAATAATATATTTTACTTACTTCACACGAATACAAAAATAAACTATCTAATGTAGCTTATCATCATCATGTTCTCGCCCTTTTCCCAATTGTTATTTGGGGTCAGATATTTTTGTATATTATATTTGACCTGAGCACAGAGCGTTTACTAATAATATATTTTACTTGCTTCACACCAATATAAAAATAAACTATCTAACGTAGCTTATATAACGAGAATTTTAATTTTTAACTCAGATGACACTTCGTCTTTCACACGACTCAAACGCGAAGCTCAGGTAACCGCTGAATTAGCACACTCGATCGTGTGACCTGCTTGTAAATATTGTTTAGTTCGTAAAGTGACTGAGCAGTTACAGGCCTAACCTGACTTACTATATTGGCTTGGCAACACACGTGAAACATACGTCAGGTGGATACGCTCTACAATTACAACGTACGCCGCCGGCGCACGTCGATCGGGATGCGGAAAAGATTTCAAACGAATTTGCCTGTGCTAATGTCACATCCGAACGCTGCCTAGCTCGTGTTATCAAACCCACTGATTTGTATACTCGCATTGAGTGCGCAGTGCAGTACCGTCATCGGCCAGTCACGGCAGGATGTTGTCGTTGGAGCAATTGTCGCAAATAGTAAAGGAACATCTCGGACTCTATATGCTTATTGAGGGTACACAATATACCAGCAAATGGATTATTTCTGAATCGGCACTCGGTGGTCGAGGAATATTTGCGACCGAAGACATAATGCCAGGTGATGTACTCTTTGTGGATCACCCTCTCATCCGCGGTCCGCGATCTGGAACAACAATACAAAGAGGATGTACCATTTGCAACAAACTTGACGGTGATGAGTTTTTTAAATGTCCCAAATGTGGCCTGTTGCTATGTTCTGAACAATGTCAAAACACAAACAGACATGGCGACGACTGTGATATCATAGGTGGATGGACTAAGAAAGTACCTACCGAAGAAATTGATGATACGCTTTTATCGAGAGCATTAACTGCCATCAGATCATTATTATTGAATGAAGAACAAAAACAACTTATGCTTTCACTGGTAGCACATATGGAACCACCGCATGGAAGTGAGATAACGCGTCTCAAAAAGTATTTTGACTTTTCAGATGAAGATGAACAAATGATGATACTCGCATGTTGCGCTCTTGACGCAAACGCATTCCAAATAGCATCCCCTTTTGGTGTTAAAGAAATGAGTACAAGAGGTTTATATCCAGTCGCAGCACTTATGAATCATAGTTGTGTATCAAATACGCGGTACACATTCAATAGTGATTTACAAATGACGGTCAAAGCTGTAAAACCGATTAGATCTGGAAGTGAAATATTTACTTGTTACTCTGGAATATTATGGGGAACACCTGCCCGGCGAACTTACCTCTACAAAACGAAACATTTCTTGTGTAAGTGTGAACGTTGTGCTGATCCTACTGAACGTGGCACGCTCCTGGCAGCTCTCAAATGCTTCGTTACGGAATGCCCTGGCTCTATGTTGCCTGTAGAACCGCTAAAACTATCAACACGTTGGCGATGTTTAGAGTGCGGTTTATTTGTCCCTAATAAAAATATTTGTGCAGTGCAAGGAGCTCTAGGAAGTTTAATGGGCACTTTAGACTTTGATAATGTCAATGAATTAGAATACTTTCTCCTCAGACGAATTATTAAGTTCATCCCGAAGACAAATCAAATAGTGGTCGACCTCCAGTGCCGCCTTATATGGGAACTTGGAGAGTCTGAAGGACTGCGTTGGCATGATAAGTTTCGAACATATATAGGTACAGTAAACACTTGTCACGCTTATATATTTTTTAACGTATACCTTTTATAAACCAAATTACAGCTCTATTTATCATTGTGTGTAAGATTATGTATCTTATAGATAAATTTTTAAATAGATATCTGAATAGTTTTAAGCAATAATAATAATTCGTTTAAAATAATAATAGTACAATCTTAATTTTTGAATTTCGTGACCAAAACTTCAGTTTCCCTAAAAACTACAGCTTAAGTTCGTAATAAGTATATATAAGGATCAGCAATACATTAATGATGTTGCAATCATTCATAAGCTACGTTAAACATTTAGGTCAGACATCAGACAGCCCTATGCTTCTTTGCCACCATTAGTACGAGTTTAGAAAATCTATACAAAAAACTTACCTTACTATATGGCTACATTTGCATTTACTATACGTTTTTTGTCTCACCTATATATTTAAATCTAATAATCTAGGTTAGCTAAAAAAATCTTTCAAGAGTATATATTATACGACAAAACCGTAAGACATACTCTAGTTTAAAATCCTACTAATATTATAAATGTAAATATATAAATTTATAAAGAGAAATAGATGTTACTTTATATACTGATTTACGTGGGCAAAGTCGCCGAAAACAACTAGTAATTATAAATCTAAGTACTTAGTTCTAATTCCTTACCGTAAAAAGGCAACTGATTTCTTATTTCTGTACTTAATAGTTAATAATAGTCTGACGACCTCCGTGGTGGTGACAATAGTCTCAATAGTGTGCTTTTAACCTTGCATAAATGAGGTCCTGAGTTCGATTCTCGGTCGGATATTTTTTTTTTGTTTCAGAAATAAGCCAATTAAAAAAACAGACTTCTTTGAATTGACTTAAATCTGGATGTTCCGAGTTATAAACCTATATTTTCATTCCCTAGTTTCTAGGACACAATATATCCTAGCTTGACTATCAGACCATTGCTGTGTTTGGGTGGCCCATTATTATTATTATATTAATAGATTAAAAATGTAAAAGTTAATTTGTTTGTTACCTGTTTATTGAAGCTCAATGAATTAATATAAAATTTAGAAAAGACTACAAACGGCGAAATCGACGATACAGCTAATGATAATTAGTTACATAAAGGTAATTAGTAACTACCTTTATAGTGGATTTATTATGGGTTTCTTGCTCTTTGTTCTGAAATTGATAGGCTACATACAAAAATCTTCAACAGATGGCGCTTATTACCAGTACGATCTGTAGGCTCAGTATGAATTATAAATAAAAATAAAGAAAGTGACATATTTAAATGTACAATGGAATTTAATTCTACATTAGAGATATTTTAGGGAAGACAATGATCTCATCGATATAATATACTATCCATAAAATTTACTATAATCTTATACTTACGTACTTATAATATTTTATATATACGAGTCAGATACATACAGCATAAATGTTAAATATTGTGACACTGAGTTATGCCTGTAATGTCATCATTGTAATAGACACCCACGGAAAAGAAAGGATGGCCTATTCTTCTATTCCCCTTAAAGCAATAAATAAGAAATTTGTTTAGACTTAATTCTATTAAGAATTACTGAAGTTAATTTTCTCCATTAAAGATTGGTGTAAGTTAAAATAGTTTCAGTCATACACTTTTTTTTTTATACAACTTAGAATGGCAAACAAGCTGACGGCCCACCTGATGGAAAGTGGTACACACATAAAAATACACATATACCTGTTATTATCGACACATATCCTAATAATGAAGTACCGCTTTCGTAATTTATTATTCATTGCAAAGATTGACTGGTACAGAATGCTACTAACAATAAATCCGCTTTTTGCACCATATTATACTTGTACAACAATTAGTCCAATACCCTAAGGTTGTCTTGAAAAGATTGCTTTCAGCAATAAGACCACCATTCTGTACCCACTTATAGAACTGTATCGCTACATTTATTAATTGTCTTGCTTATTCCCTATATTGTATAATGCAAAAAAAGAATACTCATTAATTCATTCATATTTTCATTTCATTAATAAAGTTATTTAATTAAATAAATATACGTATCCTTATCGTTTGTTTGTTTGTTACCTCTCAACAATTTAGCGGCTCAATCAATCCTTATGAAATTTTGCACATACATAGTATTTGGAAAGAACATTTTATCGTAAGCAATAAACATAACTCCGCTCACGCAAAGAAGTCCCAGGTAAAAGTAGTCCTATTATAAATTAATATTTTTTGGAAAGCCTTGCTGCATATACTATACCGACATTCATGATACTGAATACACTTAAATATTAAAAAGCTAAAACATTAAATTACTACTGCAATATACTACAGTGATAAATCTTACAAGTTTCATTTAAATCAATAAGATATAGATAGGATATTTTTCCCACAAGTAAGTATTATCAAGAAGGAAAACTTAATCAAAATCTGTCTATAGCAATATTCAAGCATTATCGACAGAAGTATGATCTTAATTCACCTGAATTATTTTATGTAGGTACGTATATGTTATGCAATATTTTTGCCAACTTTAAATGCATTCTCTTAGCAATTGGTATCACGAAGTTTACTCCTGTATTGAATTTTTAGCTTTGCAAAGCAAAACAAAATTTCATATAGATTCAAAAACAGTTCAAAAAGGGTATTAAGGTTTCTTTAAGGTCAGTAACTCGCACGTGTCACCCCTAATGTTGCAGGCGCCCATAGACTACAGTGACCATTTACCATCAAGTAAAAAAAAATAGATGTTTACATCAATTCTTTAGAACGGTCCACTTTACAATTTTCTTTTTGTGTGTTATCTTCATTTCTTATAAGCATTTGAAATCTCTTAAAAATAGAATAAATTATTGTCACAATACGCTCCACTTACAAAACGCAAGACGTTAACAAACTGCTTTTATAACTCGCAGTGTGGTTGTAAACTGTACATAAATCGTGAAACAAATACATTACGTAAGAATGGACACGTAAACCGGATTCATGAATCAGATGGAATTTAGTTATTCCAGGCGCTATTTTCACAACGGGTCATGTACAACGATAGGAGGCGTCAGTCAGCCGCGGTTCGTTACGGGCCCCACCATGAAAATACGCTTAATAACATATTATTGAGAGCAAGGAACATGGAAAGTACCTTAAATAATCTTAAAAAGGAAGCTGAATATATAACTCAACGTAGTTGGGTCATTAAGAAGTCTAACCTTGGGGGCAGAGGATTGTTTGCAAGTAAATTCATAAAGAAAGGTTCCCTAATATTTACCAATAAACCACTGGTGATAGGCCCTCGCGCGGATTGCGCGGCAAAAACTTATTGTTCTATTTGTTATGTAATAAGTGAGTTCTGCTATCCCTGTGATAAGTGCTCTTTATTTATTTGCTCTAAAGAATGTGGAATATCACAAGAACACGCCAAAGAATGTGCCTTTATTCTTGACTATTGGAAACCGAAGACTCCCTGTGATAAAAAATCAAAAGTTTTAAATCAAATGCTGATATATTTACGTTTTTTCTTATTGAATGAAGAACAAAAGCAATTGGTATCATTCCTGCAAAAGAGTAACAACTATTCTGATTTTGAAGAACTTAAAGCATTATGTTCTCAATATGAAATACCTAAATATCAAGTACAGTTTATTCGAACGATAAATGCTATGATAAAACTAAACTCATTCCGGATTTCCGAAAGTTCTTGTAAGAAAACAATACCTTTACGTGGTATTTTTCACTTATCATCTTTTCTAAATCATAGCTGTGTACCGAATACAAGAAATGTATTTAAGAATGATTACACTATGTGTGTTTTCGCAAGTAAAGATATTGAAATAGGAGAAGAGATCTTGACCTGCTACACTGGAATTTTATGGTGCACCCCTGTGAGGCGTTGTCATTTAAAGAAAACTAAGAATTTTTGGTGCAAATGCCGCAGGTGTGCAGACCCCACCGAAATGAATACAAAGCTTTCAGCTCTAAAATGTTTTAATAAGGAATGTGTTGGATTCCTTATACCTTTGGTACCACTGAATCCTGAAACTGAATGGCGCTGTGACAATTGCAAAACAATAGCAACACCTCACCATGTGAGCACTGTGCATAGTGTATTGGGTAGCTTAGTGGGAATTTTAGACCTAGATGACAAATTTCGTCTAGAAACGGTCATATTAGAAAAGATATCAAATTTTATACCTTATTCGAATCACATTTTTACGGATCTGCGGTTGAGGTTGGCATTAAAAATTGGATTTACAGAAGGATTAAAACTTAACGGTATACTGAAATTTAATAATGCAAACAATACATATTGTCTTTGTAATCTTTATCATAATGCTATATGTATTATTCTACTAACAATGATGTCTAATAAAAACCTTTATAACAACTTCTTTGTTATAATTATTTATATCGGCTTTGCTTACGCACAGATAATATAATACTATACTAGTAACTCACGTATTCAGCTTCTTTGTTTACTTTAATCACAAATAGCAATATTAAATTCAATTAAAATTTATATTCTAAACATAGGGCTTTTCCACTTTTCTATTTCAAATTTACCTCACTAAAGATTTTTTGCAGTGTTTATTTATTTTTAAAACTTTTAAAATAAATCTTTAATCCCAAGTGCCAACAATAATCACTGTTATAACCTTAGATTATAACATATTGCTTTTCACTATTTCTTGAATCAGCAAGAAAAGCAAAAGTTTAAAAATTTCATTAAATAAAAATACTTGCATAGTAAAGTAGGTCATTTATGATATGACACTAATTGAAGATAAATTAGTAAGATTTAGATTCTTAACGAATCTTTTTATGACTTATGAAATTTACATCGTAAAAATTTTGTAGTATGATGAACGATGATATAAAAAATATATAATTTATTATCTACTCCGACATATTATATCCATTACAAAGAAAGTAATGCTTGGATACGATATTTCATCGAATAATAAATAAATAGGACACTTCAACTATTAATATAAATTGGGTCACGTTCAAAAAAATGGGTACAACTATTTTAAATCTTTTATACCATTTTTCTCTCGTTTCTGTGTTAATACATATTATTATAGAACAATATATTAGACCCGGCGAGCGTGTATGAAAAGATTAATGAATGTGGAAGAAGCGAAAAAGGTTTGTTTGAATCGAAGCATTTGGCGTTCCATTATTTCTGCCTACCCTAATGGGAAACAGGCGTGACAGATATTTATGTATTAGAAACCTAAGCAATACAGTTCAGTTGCTCTAAATAATACAACTTGACATGTTTTTTTTTGTAATTTAAAATGGTAAACAAGCTAATGACACACCTGATAGAAAGCGGTAACTATCGTCAATAAACATAAACAGTACCATGCACATAACAGTGTATACTGTTTCGCCCATGATATCCCCCATGTATTGCCATTCCTGAGAAGTGTGTTATGCCTCTAATAATATTATCATCAGTAGTCTATTACAACAATTAAGACGAAAATCAGTGATATCGTTTAAGCTGTACGTTTCACCGAAGAATCGGAGATCTCTCTGTATTAATTCAATAGCTAAATTCATTTTTGTATCCTTGGGATTAAAATATATTACTTAGATATATTTATTGTATAACAGAATAGAAACATTGTATGTACGAGTATATCTATTATGCTTAAGTGAGCTCCGTCCACAACAAAGGTGTTACATTTCTAGAGCAAATTGTGGTTGTTGCTGTGTCAAGGTTTCAGTGCAATTAATAACAATAATAACACTATATTAATTATTATTTCTCAAGTTTATCCAAATATAATTTAATACATCAACTATACTGAAAGTGGTCTATTGATATGGTACTATCCCGAGTAATAGACCCCAAAAAGGCCATAAGTTCGAATCTGACCGACATCAAAAAACTAAACACGTTCCGTTTAGAGAATTAGATGATGGAAAACTCCATAAACAATTTCAGTATGCCACTATATAGTTACAACCAGTGTTAACTGCGTAATATATTACTAAGGTATAATATAAGTGTAATCTATGCACAAACTTTCTTAAATGTTGCGTTGATTTGGCCATTTGGCAGTGGCGTAACAATACGGTGGCAGGGCTGGCAAAATGCCACGGGCCCCTGACCCAAAAGGGCCCCGGCTCAAGAGACCGCGAGCTCAGATTTTTTTTTACTATGTACCTGAGTATTTTATTTTACTTGAAAATAAATGATAGGGCCCAATCAAAAGAATTTGTCACAGGCCCCAAATGGTATAGTTACGCCACTGCCATTTGGAAAGGATGGATGAAAGAAGAATTACGAAAGAGATTTATCGAGCAAGAATGAATGGAGATGTCGATAGGGGCCGCCCTAGACGAATGTATGTCGACCAAATAGGCGACATGCTGAAGAAGGGCCAAATTAAAAGTATCCGTAACCGGCGAGCGTATATGAAAAGATTGATGAATGTGGAAGAAGCGAAAGAGGTTTGTTTGAATCGAAGCATTTGGCATTTAATTGTTTCTGCCTACCCTAATGGGAGACAGGCATGACAGATATGTATATATGTATGTAAATTATCTTCGAATATTGCAACTTTAACGTTGAGATCTTAAAGATTCAATAAATATAGAAATTCTCAATAAATATAGAGAATGCTATTATAACTACAAGGTCAATGCGAAAAGTTGTGGCCGTCAAAGGTCACAGACTAATGAAAACACACTACAAAGCAAGCTCTTGCAATATCGTATTTGTTTTGTTAGCGACACGGCTAGTGCACAAATGGGACTGGATAGCACCTCGACCAAAGCAATCACTAGCGTTCACATACTTACGGCCATTTGTACATCACATTATTTACTAATTGGATGATACAGTTATACATACACATAAATTAAAATACAAACGATTATTATACTATAGACATAATATCAGCTTTACATGTTATTCTAAGTCTCAATTTACATGTTAAAGAAAATCATGTTCCAAATAATAATCTCTTTCGCAGAGCAAATAATCATTGCGAGTAGTAAGTAACAGGAAGCAGTCTTGGGTATCCTGCTATTATATAAATGCGAAAATTTCTATGGATGTTTATTACTCTTTCATAAACGCAAAAATTACTAAAAGAATTTGAATAAAATTTGATACACGGTTAGATTTTATCCTAACTTAACATTGATTATACTTTATATACTGTTTCACGCAAGCAACTCCGCTATAGCTAGTAATTAATACATACAAGAGCAACTAAAGCAAAAGCTTTGGAGAAACTAGATCGATTTTTTTTTCAAAATATTTTAATAGGTTCTGAACTTTCCATTTTTTTATATAATCCATGCAATTATATGATTAATGCAATGTCAAATTTTCGAAAATTATTATAATATTCAACATGCTGAAAAGGCACTGTTTCTCCTCATCCAATTTGTTTGGATCTTTTAATTGTTATGATTGAAGAATTAAAAAATTGGGCCGACCTTTATCATCCTAATTTTTTTTTATATTTCTAATATAATATCCTATACGAAAAATTTTTCTGTTTGTTCAATATTATTACTTAATTTGGACTTATTATATTTATATACTAAATGACCCGCCAAACGTTGTTCTGCCAGCCATATAAATAGTTTTTTTAGATAATCGTCTAAATCGGAGTGACTCCTTTATAACCTATTTTCATGCCTACCAAATATAAATTAAAAATTTTATTAAAATCGATCGGAGGAATTCGACCACAAACACCGTGACAGGAGATTTTTATATATAACTTGTATTTTCAGGAATTATAAATGATAATTAAATAATATTTAAACGAAATCTTATTAAATTAACGGTACTTACATAACATGTGTATTTTGAAATCATAATAATATGGACTTAAATAATAGTCTAACTGGGTTATACTCGTATACTGGTGGCGGAATGTAACGATGCACACGATTCGCAATTAATTACTTTGACATTCATTTCTATTTCGTTTGACAAACAAAACAGAAATGAATGAATCGACAACATTTATGTAGTGCATCTATTTTCTAGGCATCCATAGTTATTAATATTAATTATAGTTTATATTGTAGTGATGTAAGTAGTACATCTACATACATCGCTACAGTGTGTGTGCCCAATATGTATTATCCTTAGCTAATTCATTCGTTTAGCATAACTGTGGTATATCTACACCGAAAATTTCTTTAATTTTAATTGTAATTGATTATTAAGTTATTTTACAAAGATTCATAACAAAGAAATTATTCTTCTGCTCGCGACTTGTGTAGGATTCAATAGTACAACTAATGTTTGAGATACGACAATTTCGTGTACTCATTACACGTTGGCAGCTTGATAATTTTTATATAGTGATATTAAGGGACCATTATCGATTGAACTTAATTTATTAGCATGTTCTAGTGTAATAGAGCTCAAGATGAAACTTACACCAGTTTGATAAATGAGACCGTATGGTATAATTTGCTACGGCCATTTGCAGACAGACAGACAAAATTTTTTATCATTATTTTAACTTTAGTTACTTTTATAGAGACCCATACCATTGATGATTTTTAAATATCTTATACTAGCTTTTACCGGCGGTTTCTTCTACATGACTAGAATTATATAGATTCCCTAGGATAAAAATGTCTATTCTTTCTTGCCATGTCTTTCTCCATCACAAATAGTACCTACGTATGTATCCTAAACGTTGTCATGATTGATTAAGTGAGGTTAAACTGTTAAAGTACCAAGGTATAATAAATAAACTTATTTTCATATATTAATAATAAATACCTTTTTTAATATTTAAGTACATATGCATAAATAATATTGTTGTATAAAAGATTGGTAATACTACACTACATATTTATTCCTTTAATAATACACCGAATAATAAAGAGAATAATTATAATGTTAACAATACGAATACACAAAATTACATACTCATACCTACTCGGTATGAGCGTGTAATTTTTTGATAGATTTTTGTTTTTGACACGAGGTCAAAATAAAAATATAACAAAGTTGCGGAAGAATTTAGTACTCAATTAAAACACAAAGACATCGACTTCTCCGCCACATTTGCGTCTTTATAATCTGCGTCATTCAATAATGTTATAACTGCGTAAAACAATATGCCTCTGTATAAATTATGCAGTTAGTATTGCATCGTACGTTCGGAATAGCGTGTCCCGGTCTGCGACGAGTAGGTACTACGCAACAAGTGAATAAAATCGGGGACGATAACATCGTGGGGGCAGTTGTCCGATTGAACGCCAATTGACATGGGCGCCGCCGCGAAGAACCCGAGACCTCACGTTGTGACCAGGTGGATTTGTCTGCCCATGCCGTTAGTAATGCGAAATCTGCTTCTCTAGTTACATTAATTTGTGAATATAGTGATACCTTGGTCTCAATATTTAAAAAAAAATATTTGTCAAATGACGCTTTCTACATTATAATTTCTCTCCATCATATACTAGTTTATTAACAATACTTGCATAATCAAACATCAGTGTGGACATTGTGTCATCTGTCCACTCAAGTTGATTACCTTTAATGACACCATAACGATGCGTTAGTAAACATTGTTGTTAAAATTCAGAGTGTGTGATAGACTTGGCGCCCTGCCGTCGAATCTATCGATGAAGGCCTGCTTTATCTATCTTGCCAACTATTTCTATTTGACCGAGCCAATAAAGTGTTAATCGATCATGTATCGTAAGTAAAAGTGTACGTAGGTACTAATAGATTGATTTAATATTAATTATTTACCAATAAATTATTGATTCGATTCGATTGACTAAATATTAATAAGCTAAACAAGTACCTACTATGTCAATAGTTAATATAGAATGTACACCCATTAAATAAATCAATGATGTTTTTTAAACGAATAATTAATAATTAGATATGTAACATTTTTGAAGTCACATTCCAATTACATTTTACTGGAACAACATTCGCTTAATTCTAGTATTTTTAATAGAATTTTTTATTATTTTTGGTTCTGATTACTGGATGATTTATTAAAATAACCTATTATTTACAGCAGACTCACTCACGCGAAGCGAATATCTCTCATTTTCCATGGAAGTTCCAAGATACCTTTGTTAGTGACTAATTACTTACGTTATAAAAAGTATTTCTTTTCGAAAAAATATATACATAAGAAATCAAAAATATTATGGTATACATCTTTTAGCACTTATATTGTAAATAAAAAATATTGTAATAATTAGATTTGCCGGTATAGAGTCATATATTATTTTCTTAAATGAAACACGAACGTGCCTTAGTTCAAATCTTGTATCTATTCAAACATTTATATTTCAAACTGAGCCTTAATTTATATGTTTATATTTATATAAAGAATAGTGATCATCGTCATACTTTGATTGTTGTATGACTATTATTATTCATTATAATTGATAGTTAATTAAAAATATTGTGAAAACTACACACAAATGAAAAATGGTACAGTCAAATTGAAAACGCCTTTCTTTTTCAAGTCGGTGAAAAATAATATGGTTAATATGTACAAGTATAAAAATTTATCGGAAACACGAAACAAATTATAATCATTATAGCTATAATATTATACGTAATATGTAACATAGCATTTGTTTGAAATCAAGAAATATGAGAGATATCGAGAAACTATTAACTAATAACGAATAAATTATTTGGTTTACAATTGCGATGTGTTAATTGTTTCTTTCTTAAATCTTTCTTTCTTAGGTAGATGCATATTTTTCTATTCTACTAAAAATGATAAATAATAAGCGGGTAGCATTATGGAAAATGGTAACAACCTACGAAAATAAACAAACCCAGGGTTATGAGTTACAATCCCTAAGGACTGGGAGGAATTGTTATTAATGGAGACTAAGGGCCTCATTGCTAGCAATATACCCAACCAGGTTGACCTCCAGGTGGTCCCTCCTGGAAACCATCGTGCTGAATTCCAAGCGTATTCATCACGATGGGTTAACTGACCCATCTTTTCATCCTCACCTATCATCCCTCACTGATGCTCTGTCAGTGTATACCGTTGACGCAGGCAGAATTACCATTTCATCATCACCCAATAAAAAAAAATCCCTAAGGACTAGGATATTTTTAATGTATGATGATTGATCCGTTGGTTGATTAATTGGTTGGTTGCAGAGCTGTCGGAGTCGCGACTGTCGTTGAAAGAGAGCTTGTGCCGCGGCACGCTGCGCACGGTGGCGGCGCTGGGCGTGGGCGACGCGCACCTCCGCGGCCTGTTGCTCTACCACCTGCACGGCGCGCTGGCAGAACGCGCCAGGCGCATCCCAGACCTATATGAGGTAGCAACGACCTGTTCTTTTCTTTCATCTATCTTCTTCTGCCATACACAAACACAAAAATGAGATCGTGATTTCAATTCATTAGATTAGCTGGTGCCCAACCTAGAATCCAAGCAAAGCTTTGCAAAACATGCTTAAGAGCACAATAAGCATTTTAAAGATACTTGCCCTTAGGGAGGGGTCCCTCCCTCTTCTAGAAATTAAATATGCCAATGGATAAACTACAATGTCCGAGATAAAGTCTTAGGATACATTTTGTCCTAATACACAATAGCAAAATTACGAGTTACAGCTAGTATAAGTATAATATTATTATCATTATAAAATTTTTATTGCTGTCTGTACTTCTGAGGTACTACCTACACAGATATTAGCAAAACAAAAATAAGCAATGAACTGTTATTTTCCGTTTCAATCAACGCAAAATAAATGTTTATAGCAATAATTTCACGTATAATAAATTTATCTTGAACTAGATTTGTTTTAGAAAATATTTTCGCCAATTCCGACGCGGATATCAAAATAAATTGCGGTCTTATGATGTCCATTCTACGCAAGACGTAGTTTCACTTTGTTTCACGATTTATTCCATTTATAAATATCTCTATTCTCTGTAAGTAATCACTACTGTGTGATGATGACTGGTAAGAATACAAAATAATATGACCATGTCTTTACTCCTTCGTCTCCTTTATTGTCATCATAAGAAACGACAAAGGAAACTAAACAACCAAGTAGGCTAACATATACTCGATATACCTGCACCATTTCATGATTTTATAACACAATCTAAAATCTACCTATATAATGTATCTACCGATTAGGTATACGAAAATATTTTAGAATACTTATCTATTGAATTTGAAAAACAATTTAATAATAAATATTTCAGGAGCTGAAGTCTGAAATTGAGAGTACGATAGAACAAGCCTACAACATACTGCAGGGCGACATTTCTGCTCCGCCAGATCTCGAGTTAAGGCACCAGTATCTCGGTCCAGGGTGCGATAAACCTCATGAAGAGAGATTTTTTATCCTTTCCATATAATAACAAAATATAAAAATGAGGTGTGAATATAAATAACATCAGTAAAAAGCATTTAGTTGTAGATATCCAATTACGTATTCTATACGTATAGTGTTATATTGTCTGTACCTATACCCACTATGTATGAATATTTTTACATTTTGTGTTAAAAAGATTTTTATAATAAATAAAAATATTATAACTAATCATATTATTGTTTCGGTTTTGAAATGACTACATGAATCTGCAGTTTTGAATCCTATAAAATTATTAACTCCCATGTTCACGTAAAAGCGTGAACTTTTATGATAAAGAATAAAGCTGTCACATCTGTGTGATGATGGGGATGTGAATTCAAATCTTTGAAAAATAACAAAGATATATAACTTCAGTTACCACACTACTAATTATTATTATATTAATATTTAAATATATTTTACACATGCTCATATTTAGTTTCAAGAGAGTTAATACAGCTCTAAGTATAAACATTTTCGTTAATGTTCTGCAACAGTAAGTTAATATTATGTTCTAATACAATATTACTAGTGTTTCACATTCTCTTAGTAGATCATTGTTATATTCAGTAGTATAAATATTTTAGAGAGCTTTATATTGTATTACCTGGTACGCATGCATAACACCTTAGTTCTCAATAATAGCAACGAATAAGTGGTACCACGAATGGCACAGTATATTCTGGGAGACAATAATTTTCATATCTATAAGACATAGTTATCATTTTAAATTAGTTGTACTAAAGTAACTAGTCTAGTCATAAATACTGTTACATAAAAACTTTACTTTATTCAACTTTTTAATTATTTTGAATTCGAAACATGTTTATTATTTTAAAAACTCCTTTCAATTTCGTGCCATTTCACATATTTTTTCGTGTTTATTATCAAATAGGATTGCAGTGATCGCCTTGCACAAAGTGGGTATGGAGCCGTCGGTCATATTCCAAACACTTCAAAAGCTTGGTTCAGCCGTATGTTCGTATATCGTACTATCAACAGATACAACAACACTTCCTCTGTCAAAGACCAAAAAAGTTTGGTGCGGTCGCGTGCTGTTAGAACTACAAAAACTATTAATGCTGTTAAAGCCAGAATTCATCGAAACCCCTTAAGGAAGTAAAAAATCTTATCGCGAGAAATAAAGACTCCCGCTACGCCTCTGTCGCGTATTATAAAACAAGATCTGAAGCTCGGTGCTTATCGTCGATATACAGGACATGCCCTAAATCAATCTTTACAATTAAAGAGAGTGAATCAAACAAAACACCTTCTGTCGCGATACGCAGGTGAGAGGCACAGAAATATCCTCTTTACCGAGGACTAAATTTTCACGATTGAAGAACACTACAATAAGCAAAATTATAAAGTGTATGCTCACAGTTCTAAAGAAGCTGCTCAATTGGTCAGAAAAGTACAACGTGGTCATCATCCTGCGTCAGTGATGATTTGGTAGGGCGTGTCTTATCAAGGAGTCACAAAACTACATTTTTGTGCAAAAGGAGTGAAATCTTCAGCCAAAATGTATCAAGATCTTGGATCGTGTTGTGAAACTTCTTAGCAATACAATTTTTTAAATATACCGTGGACTTTCCAGCAGGACTCTGTACCTGGTCACAAGGCAGGAACTACCCAAGCCTGTCTTAAAACCAACGTTCCGGACTTTATAAGAGCTGAAAATTTGCCCAGACCTCAACCCTTTAGATTTCAAATTATGGTCACTTCTAGAAAACATGACCTGCTCTAAACGGCACGGTGACATTGAGTCTTTTAAAAAATTTTTGGAGCAAGCAGTGGCGAAACTTTTCCTTGGAAACAGTGCGTAAATACATAAATTCGTGGGCAGATAGATTAAAAGCTCGTATAAAAGTCAAAGGAGGCCACTTCGAATAGTTTTTTTTTTTTTTTTTTTTTTTTTGCGGAGACTAATAAATATGGTAAGTATACATTTCAGTAATATTACATTACTTTGTAAAAAAAAAATATTTTCATTTGTAACAGAACTTATAGCTGTATTAGGTATATAATTACTTTGTCTAAGAGGTCATTTTAAAAATTCTGGATTTCGATAAAAATTAAGACTAACTAAGTATCCTCTACATTAAGATAGGCAGAAACAATGGAATGGTATATCCTTCAAATCTCATAAATATCCTAGACCTAATCCTTATCCTTTCTAAATTCGTTTGTGTTAGGTATTTTTATTACTACTGTCGTTTCCCCGTTTTTTTCTTGGCAAAATACCCTAATATCAGGGTGAACGCCACCAAATAAAGAAAAAAAAATTATCCTCTACATAACTCATAAATGTTGCATCCTCTATCTTTCTCCAACATCAGCGGCAACTGATAACCTAGAGACGTTCATTAGATTTTAAGCGCACGTATTTAAAAGGGGATCAGAGGGCCTACCATGAAATATTTTACGAAATTTTGGGGACGAACGAAACAGAAATTTGATGTAAAATTTACATAATACATGCCGTTTAAAATTATTAAAAATGTTAAAATATCGTTTCTCTGGACTATTAGGATAGGATTTATGGTGAAGGAAATGTTAAGTTCGATTTCGGTACGAACATAAACACGAAATTGAGCCCAAAAATTCGGAATCACCTGATCGCAGAAGGCGGCAGTGAGTACCTATTCTGTACTTTAGTACTATTACTCATACTGTGGTTAAGTTACAGCAACGATAAAATTGTTAGAGCATTAATACATTGAGGGATATATATATATATATATATATATATATATATATATATATATATATATATATATATAAGAAAAAAAGAAATTATTAACTTGAGTATTGCCAGAATGAAATATCTTTCATTCTGGCAATCTTTCATTCCTTATCAGGGAAGTGTAAGACTGACACATAATGTCTCGCTGACAGTGAGTCCAATACCTTTTTACTCTGTGCTTTTTACTTAGATAACTTTTAATTACTTACTGAATTATTTCCATTGACGGTCTATTTCATTTATAATAATTTATTATCTGTAGATATATATCTATCTATTGTTATAAGTTCTATACAAATCAATTTTAATATTGCCTATTTAGTAAATAATGAAAATCGTATTCAGATAACAATTGTGAGACTGTTAATTACATTTTCTTTCTGTTCAACTAAAACTTTTAAAAAAGTACATATTTAATATGTCGTCCATTCGCCAAGCCTTATTACTTTCATCCTCAAATTGTCATGGATATTCCATGTTAGAATTCGCTAAACAAGAAATTTCTTCAATTTTAAAAAAGTAAGTACCTATAAATCTACCTGTGTATCTACAGTATTTCTTATATAGAATTCCATTACGGGCTAATTTAGTAAAACCTTTACTTTTATCACGAAACAATTTCATTTGCAATAAATCTGACATCAATCCTCTATTTTTATCAATATTATCGGTCAGTGTATACCACGCAAATTTCCTTGAAATGTATATTTGTTTCAGAAATAATGTAAAACAACTACTCTTTATACCATATGCACAAAATGATTTTGACACTTACACATCAAAAATCAAGGAAGTTATTGATCCATGGGGCTTTGAAGTTAGTGGTATTCATGCTTATCCTGATCCTGCAAATGCTGTTATGTCCACCAGAGCTATATTTGTAGGTGGTGGGAATACATTCCTCCTATTAAAACGACTTTATGAAAATAATTTGGTTGAACTCATTAGAAACAGAGTGGCTGAGGGAAATTTGATATATATAGGAAGTAGTGCTGGTACTAATGTGGCCACAAAAAGTATTCACACAACAAATGATATGCCAATCATATATCCACCTTCATTTGATGCAATAAGAATAGTTCCTTTCAATATAAACCCCCATTACATAGAAAGTGCAGATCCTGAGACACATAAAGGGGAAACTAGAGACCAAAGGATCAATGAATACTTGGAAATGTCCCATGCCTCTCCTGTGCTAGGATTGAAAGAAGGATCTTTGCTACATGTAAATGGAGACTCGTTAGCTTTAAGAGGTGTTGCTGGTGCAGTTTTATTTAGAAAGTAAGTATTTCATTAGCTATATTAAAGACTTATCTTTATTTATTATCAATAATGTTGTTCAAAGTAATATCTTGCTAATATATGCCATTACCATTTGATGTTCCATTGTTTCTGCCTACCCTAATGGGAGACTGGTGTGAATGGTATGTATGTATGTACTATGGTACATATATGTATGACTCATTTCTGTAAAGAATAAGTGTAAGCATTATTTTAAAACATCAATTAATCTTAAAGAAAGTGGTGTAATCTCTTTCAGCCACATGTTCTAATAATTTAATCAGTCCCAGAAGTCCCAACAAAATGAACATAAATTATAAAGCAGTAGTCTAGTCTTATACTATATAAAATAACCTTACATAGTAATATAAATAGTGATTTTGTTTCAGAGGTCATAAGAAAGTTGAATATCCTGTTGGAACAGACATAACTTTTTTATTTCATCAAAATGAGAACTAACTACACATATCATTTTACTTCCAATTTATTTACTCTTCAATATTATTCATGTGTACTTATATGTATATAGGAAATCTAAAATAAAATTGTACAATGTCTTCAAATAATGCATTTAATTAAATTTGTGATAATTACAAAATTATTATTTTTGTAACTTTACCAAATATATAGAAAACAAAAATGACTGAATAACTTACAGATTATGTTATTTAACATCAGATGACAACCACTACATACATAATACCTAGGATTATTTCACACTAGATTGAAGTTCAGTGTTACCAGATTATATAGGTACCAACAAAAGCACAGTAATATTTCACAATTTGAACTAGTCACTGTCACAATTTCAGTTTTGATATTAAATGAATTTATAACTCGTTTTCATTGATCACAATGTTAATAAAAATTGTTCTCAATATATTGCACTTGAACTACTGCAATCTGATCCAGTATTGTTCTGGATTCAATGTCTTCGTCAGCCAGAGACTGGTGCCTGCATTAACAAAGCCCGTGCCGCATGAAATAGGGAAGGCTGAGGCGTCACACGGGATTGGCCTGTACGTTCAGCAGCTGGCAAATTACATAAATATCGGCGCAACGCCAAATCTCCTCTCGCACTAAGCCCTCTTGTAATTTCACACCCAGAACCAAATAACACAGCACGCTGTCTTTTTCTTTTCTCGATAGCAACCTGAAACGTTCTAAAGTTAAATCTGGTGTGTTCGACCACTCACTAAACCTCTGATAAGTGCCACTATCTCAAACTTCAAGTACTATTTTTCTGTGTTTTCTCTCCAACTTCTCCCTTAATTATCTTCTGTTGTATGTATGCTATTATGTGTATATGTTTTATTATATATGTTTATATCTTAGATTATTTAGATAGAGCATCGAACCTCAAAAATGGGTCCACTTTTTGTCAGCTAACTGTGAAATTAGCCGACTCGTTTTTTTCTATATATTTAGGCATAAAATGTATCTTGACATATTATTTAATAAATAAAATGAGTATAACTCGTGCGATTAGAGAAATAATCTGTAAATGGCGGACGGTCTCATGCTATCTCGCTAATATGCTCGCTCTGCATGGTAGTGCGTACAAAAAAAAATATCAGTTTGGATTAGCATTCACACTGTCTCGACGCGCTCCATTTCAATTGTTAATATTCTGTTCTGTTAATTGTGAAGATTATTCTCTTTTCGTGTTAGTGTTCCGTTATTTGTTAAGTTTAGATTTTTTATTGTTGAACATGACTTCTCGTAAACGCGGGAAGATTCTACAGTGACGCTCGACAGATCGTTTACAATGTAATTAAGTATTTTGAAGAAAAAAAGAGACTGAAGCGATATCACCCTTTTCAATTCAATAACGCACGCGCAAGTATGACAACCGGTTTGGATCCCCGCACAATAACGAAGATAAAAAAAAAGAAAGTGAGATTACATACTTTTAAGTACACAATCTACCTAAAGTATAAATAATGAGATTTTTAATTTTTTAGGTTATGAATCATATATCTATATGATGATGATCTATATGATAGCTGCGTTCCAAATCACAGTTACAGCGTTAATAGTAAAGAATTCGCTCACATGCGTTCTGTCTGATTCATAGTTCAGAGATTTATTGGGCTTCGTGATACATCGATGGTGCAGGCTTACTTTTCAAAGCAAAATCAAAAACTATTAAAAGAATATGGACATGAAGTCTTAAGTCTACCTCCATACAACTGTGATCTCAACCCCATTGAGCACATTTGGAATCTCATTAAACAACGCGTAGCAGACAAAAATGTTGAGCAATATGAGAGCAAAATAAAAGGACTAACTATGGCAGTAATAGCCTCAATAACACCCTATGATTGGAAGAAGCAAATTAACCACATTAAAAGATTCGAGCAAAAGTTCTGGTCACGCGAAGTGACTAACGAACATGAATTAAACGACTTCATAATTCAAATAAACCCTGAAAGCGATAACAGTGACGACAGTCAGTCTAGCTGCAGCGAAGGTGAAGAAGATGTCGACATGGGCGTAACACCTTTATCTGATGATGATCCATGCGAAGGGACAAGTAGTTGTGGTTAGTGCCTATCTTTATGTTTAGTTTTTTGATTCTGATTAAATATTTTTAGTTTGTTTTATTAGTCTTATTTTATGAACCCTGTAGGCAAAGTCCCGAGATAAAAATTAAAACAAGACTTTTAAATTAAATTACTATTTTTTTCAAATAGTTTTAACATCGATTAATATTTTTTAAGTTCTTGTGTTAATGTTTAGTATTTAAAAGTCGACCATTATATAGTCGATAAATGAATGAATGGTATATTTTTTTACTGACGCTACTACTACACCACTATAAATACCGGCTGCCATTTTCATATTGTTTCTCTATCCGCACGGCTTATATTTACACATTAAAAAGATGCAGAATTTATAAGACAAAATAAATATAGAAGTTATAAAAGAGCCACTTAACTATTTATCACGCAAAATTGTATAAAAAAGATGACCGGTTTTTCTCCAAGCATTTCTATGGAGACACTATATGTACATTTCCTACTATTACTTTTTACCCAAAGGCTGTCTAAAAATAATTGCTTAGTCATAAGGCTGCCTTTATATAATTTCTCATTGCTAAATATCAATGAGAAATGATAATTTATTGTATTTACTATTTTTGTAACTGATAAATAAAGTGTAAATAATAATAAAATAAATTATTACTGCTTCCATGAGCCAATAAACAACCTGAAAAGGTCTACTCTATAAATATAATTTATGTTGCTACTAATTTACTATGTTTTTAATATGAAAATATATATTAAATTATTAAAAAATTTAGTTACCTGAATAGCAGCAACTGGATGTATGGTGTTGACATCTGATGGTGGTTCCAATTTCTGTTCATCCTCTGTCTCACATTTGCCATTTTGTTCTGCTTGACTTTTTTCTGAAATTTCTGTAGAACTAGAATCTGGTACTTTATTCTTTGATTGAATAGTATCTGCATTTTTGTATAATATATCTTGTACAGTATCTTTGCCAGCCATCTGTAAAGATAACCCAAGCCGCGCAAGAACTCGTTCTGGTCTCCATCGATCCCGGGCGCCGCCTGAAGGCGTTGTCTGTTCGCGACGACGTACATCGGCAACAAGACTTGCCCAATCTACTCCCAAAGCATCCCCTAAACCAGCTAAAACAAACGATATTAATTACGTTAATAAATGCAGAAATCTCTCACAGAGATAAAATCTTTATGGTTAAAATAGAGATAGAATTAATTTTATTGATTGATAGTATTATATTGTAACTGTATCGATACAATCTACATTACAAGTACAATAAGTAGATTCGATTATAATAAACTATAATTAATTATTATATAGTAATATTGAATTAAACTGCATATCACCATATCAATTGAATTCATAATCTATATAAATTGATCGATTTTCAGATTATTATGGGTGATTAGTTGAATATTACCAACTTTCTATTATCCAATTCATTTTATATATATTATTTAGCTGTACAGTAGTCTCAGTGTACTGGTAATTTACAATTCAAAGGTCTATATATTAACAGTTTCTACTTAATTTTTTTGCAAATAAAACATATGCTTGTTACGACACAAATAAATTTAGAAATGTTTTTAAACTAATAGCAATTACCTCGAGTCCTTTCTTCTTCTAATTCTCCATCAGATATTTCTTCAAAGTCCATATTCGTAACATCATCTTCATCTTTAACATCTTGCGACTCTTTTTCTTCTCCGGCCCCACTTGTGTCCTAATTACATATAGAAATAAAATAACTAGTATAACCTACTATTTTTTTTTTGTCAATATAAAATTATTTCTATAGTTTATTATAAACGGAATTCAAATCTGTAGTTACCTGCGTAGATTCTTTCTCCGAGGTGTCAAGTTTGGACGTGGCTTCATCGGGTGGCACTGCGGTTTGACTATCATCGTCGATGTTTTGATCGACCATCTGCAATATAATTTATAAATTTTAAGACTCTTCAAGAAGGAAGTTTTGGTAATTTTTTTTATGTATGTTACGAAATTTTAATTCATAAATAATTGTGATAATGGATGACTGAAATCAGTAATTTAATCACATATTAATACTTGCTGGTAACAAATCTTTACAACAATTAATTAAACCAATGAAAAATTAAACTAACATCCTCTCTTTCCAGTATATCATCTGGATCGTCGCTAATTTCACTGAGATCATCAGGTATAGGTTTATCATCATTTTCAGTATCCTGTCGCGCTGGTGCGACTACAACAGGCTGGGGAGCAGGCGATGCAGTTTCTTTTGCTGGTGTGTCTGATTCAACTCTAGCCACTCTTCTTTTGTTACCATCTCCTCTATTAAGATCCATCCGCATTCGACCACCATATTCATCTATAAGATGCAAAAAAATACGTAACTACAATAAATCTGACATTATTAGACATGAAATCAAACTACTGCTCATGTGAACATATAATAATAAAATATAATGAAATATTTAGACAATGATAAAATATGACATAAATCTAGTAATTTTTTATCACAAGGAAATAGTAATCTAATACTAGAAATTGCTAACCATGTATTCTTCCACGATGGGGTCCAGGTGGATGACCTCTGTGATGCCAGCCTTCCATCTCTGGATCTTTATCACCCCACTCGTTCATCTTAGAATAACACAAAATTCTCATATGAAAACCTTACAGAACATACATATTAATTACAAAAATAATCTTATAAATATACAAATTATTATACCACTTTCTAAAAAACTAATATTTCTATAATGTTCGATTTAGTTATCTATAGTCTTACACAAAGTAGAAGTAGTAATAAAGTGAATGCTCTATATAAGCAACTAATTTGTACCAATTTCATTAAAAAAGTTTCTTATTGCGAAAACTTGCTTATAGGGAAAAAAGGAGTATAAAAATACCATCTGGAAAATATTTTTACTTATTTCTTTTACTAACTATGTTTTTGTATTTTATGCACGAAAATTATTAATTCACTCTTGCGCCACCTGCCCTTTTCTATCTGTTCTCCCTTAACTAAAGGTTGTCTGTAAGAGATTGCCCTAGCAATAAGACCGCCTTTGTACCTTTATGTGTATATTTCAATCTGTATTTATGTTACTGTATTTCATTTGAATTATTCACTTGTCATTGTATATGTTTATTTATGGTGCAATAAAGAGTTAAATAAATAAATAACTATGCTGTATAGATTAAAATAAATTCAGTTTTACTTTGCAAAGGAAAATATTTTATTATTAAATAAAAAAAAATTAAAAAATAAAATTTTAATAAATCTTTGGTTTAGTGCAGTTTAGTACATATATTTGTTCATGATAGCTCTTTCTCTTATTCTTTATAACAAAAGTACCTCATTGCAGGGTAAGTCATTTTCTTTTGGCCATTCTAACGCCAAATGATCCATTCTTACCATTTTTAATATCCTTTAAAATGGATAGTTTATCTCCTAACGAAATTGAAATTCTTTTTTTTCTGATTCATATTTTATGGTTGAAACATACACAAACATATTCCAATGACAGATTTTTTTACTATTTGTGGTTTCTTGTTATGAATAGCTAATTTTACTTCTGAATTGAGCTAAACAACTCAAATATTTAGCTTTAAAAAAATAAGTTGCTTATATAGAACAGTTAAACTAAAAAAAGTTGCTTGTATAGAGGTTGCTTATAAAGAATGTTACTTATATAGTGTTAACTGTATATACAATAAGAAAAATTAACATGACATATTTCCAAAAAGTAGTCACATGATAAATATGTATTAAAAGCACACATACCAAAATGAGGATAAGGACAGCCAAGGAAAATGTGGGATAGAATGAAACAGGACATTTTATCATTTCTTTTACGATAATCAATTGGTTCATTCCAGTACAAAGCTTGATAGTATAAACTCGCCTAAAGTAGAACATTAGATCAAAGTAAATAAATGAAAACTGAATGTCACTAAAAATAATAAAAAAATAAAAATTACAAAAATTATATATACCTGCTCATGCATAGACCAATGTCGTTCTCTCCCCCATTCTCCAGAAGGGCGATAATCCTCATTGTCCCACTCTTTATGGGAATGCATATACCTTTCACGATCTAGTGACGTTGATCGACCCTCCCATGAGTGATCACGATGTGGACGACGATCATCATAACCTTGACCACATAAAAAAGTTAATATTTATAAAAAAAATGTAAGAAGAAGAAATATTCCTGTTATCAAAACTTCACTTACCCATTTCAACACCTCTATGATCACCCATATGATCACCATATATTCGGTCGTCATCATCAGGATAACCTCTAGGAGGACCAGACATATCATAGCCAGAGTCATAGTGCCTATCCCTGTTTTGTATACTATATCCTGGTGATCGTTCATCTTCTCTCGGACCATCATACCTTTCATCTACTCTATCATATTGTTCAATGCTATGTTCATTATCATATTGACGATCCATACCAAGTTCATAATCACCTTGTTCCCTGTCCATACTATCCAATCTATCTCTTTTAGTAGAACGGTCTCTTTCAAGTCTGTCCAGTTTACGTCCACCTCTATCGGAATGTGTGTCTTGTCTATCTTTTGAATTGGTGGAATTCTTATCTGTTTCAAGATTTCTGTTGGAAATAGCAGCAAGGGCAGCTAAACGTTCCTCCGGTCTAGGCAGTAGACGCTCCATGGGCTTATTAGGTTTTTCTAAACCCTTATCAGACCCTCCTCTACTACCTAATCCTCGATCACGACCCCTTCGCTTACTATCATCTCTTTTATTATCTTTGTTTCTCTCACGACCTCTTTCCTTTCTATCATGTCTATCTTTTTCATCATGTTTATCTTTCCTCCTCTCTAAAGACCTATCTTTATGATCGCGTCCTCTATCTCGATCTCTACTTGCTGATCTCTTTCGATGCCTCTCTGAACTACCATCTCTCCTAACTTGTTTTTTAGGAGAAACTGGTCTACTTCTATCAGAACTTTCTTTTTTTCTAGGATCCTTAAGTCTTGGAGACCTAGATCTTCCTTTCCTAGGAGATCTACTGCGACCTTTAGCACGTTCTCTATCCTTATCACGATCTTTATCTCTATCCTTTTCCCTGTCTTTTTCTTTAACACGATCACGATCTTTATCCCTATCCCTTACAGAATGAGGAGAGGCACTCCTATTTCTTTCTCTTCTTGGTGGAGATTTTCCATGTTTAGTTGAGAGTTTAGTTACACTTTTAGAACTAATTGGGGGAGTCCCACCAGATTTTTTACCTGGTGACAGGGACTTTTTACTAATAGCTGGCTTAGTGACAGGCTTTTTTTTATTTACATCATTTTTTTTTAATAATCTGTCATCTTTTTTTACATTACTTTTTTTTGTATTGCTTTTATCTCGTTTTAGTGAATCACCTTTAACAAATTTCTTTTTAGTAGGAATATCACCATCTGAGGATGAACTAGAATTCCTTTTTAATTTTCCTTTTTTAACCTTCCTTCTTGTGTCTCTATAAAAGAATTCAACATATATATATATATACAATAAAACAATCAGAGATTTATATTTATATATAGTTCAAAATAATTAGCTAAAAATTAGCTTACTAAGGATAGTGCACTACCAGTGAAAGTAGGGATCTTTCTAAAGAAAAAGTATTAATAAATAACAAATAAAATTTTAACCTTCTATATTAAAATGTAACATGATGCATGCAGTTGAATAATTATAATTAAAAAATAAATATTTAATTTCACCTGTATAATATTTATAATAATGATGACTATAAAGATATATTTCGACTCCAGGAATGGTCTAGTAAAGCATGCAAAATTAACTAAGTAATTAAATTTTCAATATTACAAGTAATTTGATTCAAAATTTTCTAGTTTGGGATTTGTTTCAACATGAATTGATAATGACTTTTTCTCGATGTACCTATTCTTACATAATTTATTATAAATTTAAAACAATATGTGTATTACCAAAAATATGGACCAATTACAATAAATTAATATAAAAGCAATAAGTAAATACAGGCATGTTGTTTAATCTTACACTTATTATGTATTATAATATTGTCTACCCTTCTTTCAAACGAAAATGTGAGAACACTGAACATACTTCGATTTTTCAATTTAATCTTACACATTTCTTGAACCTACTAAACCATAAATATCTAATTTAATCCAATATCTTTATTCGCTTACACACTAATTATAATTAATTATAGATACAATTTATTATGAAAAAAATACATATAAGATACAATTTCACTCAAAAGAATAAATAGTTGGCTATTTGATAAAATATTTATAGTGAAACTATTTTTGTTTTGTGCAATTTAGAACCTAACTATATAATTTTTCTGTACTCAGCATAAAAAGTAAACAATGTTTAATTTGTATTGTTATTGAATTTATCAATATAAGGTAAATGACTAATTTAATGCACTATTCAAATAATAGCAGTGCAAATAGATATAATTGCTATCATACCTTCCAGAGGAAGATGAGGATGTACTACCATCTGAAGATGACGAAGACATACTCGAAGAACTAGAACTTCTCGACGAAGAAGTACTGGAAACAGTTTTTTTCTTAATCTTACGCATGTCTTTTCCAGAGTCCATTTTCAACTGCAACTCTAATTCACGTTGCAATTGTTGCCTTCTTTTCTCAAGAACGTCTGTATCTGCGTATTCTAGGTCATTTTGATCCCAATTGTCAATTTCGCCGTCAGGGCTACGGCCCGATCTCACAACCACAGTAGAATGTAATCTGTTTTTTCCATCATCTTTAATTAAACGTTTTGATTCACTATCTTTATTAGCAGCTCGTTGTTTAGAAGGACTAATTAAAGTATGTGTAGCTGCAAATTTACAACTTTTACCGTAAGCGCAACTGCCGTGCTGTGCCCACTGTCTACAATGTTCAATTGTTTTTTTTGCACTTGAAGTTTTCTTAGTTCCGAGACGCTCAAAAACACTAGGTCTATTGGATAAATCTTTTGATTTCGGTAATTCAACAGTTATTTTTCTTTTTCCTTGCTTTGACATTATAAATGAAATACATTGGTCTTACATACAATTAAAATCGTTTGAAAAAATACATTTTCACCGGTCTAAAAGTCGCCATTGCCTTGTTTATTATCCACAGATTACATTAGATCACATCATCTATCACAGATCATAAAGATGATTTTTGTTAAAATAAATAGGTATCTATTTAATAGACAGTAAACCCGCCTTCGTTATCCTCGCCAGCCGAGAATACACGTTTGCTGTCTTCCTTTTCTTTCTTATTATCTACCTGAAAGCTATTAGCGAGCATATACATAAATACGTTATGCTAATGAGCATACGATAGTGATCTCCGCTGAATGATTTATTTTATATATAAATTAATTGTCTTTTGTCACTAGATTGCAATTGCAGTCTCGTATATACAAAATACTCGCTATAATACAAAAAAAAAAGGATAAAAAATATTAGAAATTTAATGAGTAGTGCATTATAAAAATTTTGCTGACTGCCTTGAATTACAAGAATAAATCTATCTTAATCAAATTATTTGAAAATCTATTGGATAATCCGAAAGAATTGTCCAATCGAATAATTTATAGTCGGATTAGTAGTCACACCTCGTTATTTTGTAGACATAGGTTCTCTAATCTGTGCTGCTCTAATCTATGCTCTTTAGACATAGTCGCTCTAATCTGTACCATTCTTTTGTAGTGATTGTCATTCCAAATGGTTATCTTGAATTGAATTATTTAAATCAATTTTTATAGTTTATATTCCATGAAGAGTTTTTTTCATTCATTTTATCGTATTACCAACTCCATATTCCATTATTATTGTAATTTTTGATTGAATATAAAAAAAATAAATTTGTATGCCTACCTAGTGTAAATAAACAGAAAAAAATACAAAGATGCCTTTATTAGACGGGAAAAACATAGATATATTTTTCGTAAGTAAAATTTATATATTATTTATTTTTTATATGGTAATTTAAAATATCTCCTATATATTATAGAAAACTACTTCTATAATAACCTATTTAGCAACCTTTCCCGGCTTTACACTCGTGGGTATTCTTTAGATTGATATAACTTTTTTATTTATGAACCGGCCGCGTGCTGCTAGAACTACATTCGCAGTTAATGCTGTTAAGCCAGAATTCATCAAACCCCATAATGAAGCAAAAATCTTATCATGAGAAATAAAGATTCCCTCTAGGACTCTGTCGCATATTATAAAACAAGATCTGAAGCTCGGTGCTTATCGTCGATATACAAGACATGCCCTAAATCAATTTTTATGATTAAAGACAGTGGATCGATCAAAATGCTTTCAGTCACTATATGCAGGTGAAAGGCACAGAAATATCCTCTTTATGGATGACAAAACTTTCACGATTTAAGAACACAACAATAAGCAAAATGATAAAGTGTATACACAGTACAGTTCTTAAGAAGCTACTCAAGTGGTCAGAAAGGTACAATGTGGTCATCATCCTGCATCAGTGAGGGTTTGGTGGGGTGTGTCTTATCAAGGAGTCACAAAACTACATTTTTGGGAAAAAGAAGTGAAAATAAAGTTTTCACTCCTTTTTCAAAAGTATATCAAGCCAAAAGCCAAAGTATATCAATATCTTGATATTGTTGTGAAACTTCTCAACAATACACTTATTAAAAATATACTGTGGATTTTCCAGCAGGACTCTGCACCTGGTCACAAGGCATAAACTGCCCATGTTTGGCTTAAAACCAATGTTTCGGACTTTATAAAAACTGAAGACTGGCCCTCATCATTATGGTCAGTTTTAGAGGACATGGCCTGCTCTAAACGACATGGTGACATTGAGTCTCTTAAAAAATCTTTGGAGGAAGCAATAGCGAAATTAAAGGCCAAAAAGCCAAAAGTGGCCATTTCAAATAGATTTTTTTTTGCTGAGACTAATATATATGTAGATATAAATTTTAGTAATATTACATTACTTCATAAAAAAATTATTTTCATTTCTAACAGAACTTATGGCTGGACTAGGTATTAATAAACTCTTTAGGGAAATTTGACAATAGAAAAAGAAAAATATGATTGCCTAGTAAACTTAATATTTGTTATGTTCTATGAATTGACTTTTGTCTAAAAAACTACAATATTTTAATATAATAGTGTGATATAGTGTTTCATATATTTAGTGTGTGTTATGTTTATTACACATTATCACATTAATAAATGATAAATTTGTTGTTGCTGATATGGAAGATCATTTTTATGTTGAAAAACCTGAAGAGTTTTTAGATGCTTAAGATACTGGGATATCAAGACATAATTTTAAAGACAGGAACACTATAAACGTCCATAAAAGTTGAAGACTTTGTCTACTAAATGTCACAGGCAATCCAAAAACTTATAAATAAGTTTTAAATAGGAAAGATCTCTGGAGTTTATGTAATCTACCACCCAATCAGACGGCGCTACCATGCAAGTGGGTATTTAGCATAAAAAGAAACTCGCAGATACCAAACCAAACCAACACCCAAGCAAAGCCAGGCTAGAGCTGGAACTGCAGCCAATGAGAGTTTAATTATTAAGGGAAAGTGTTAAGGTGCAAACTAGGTATATTAATAAACTCTATTGAAATTTGAAAATAGAAAAAGAAAAATATTATTACCTAGTATAACTGTACTTACAAATTAAATAATATTTTAATATAATAGTGTGAAATAATGTTTCATGTATTTAGTGTGTGTTGTGTTTATTATAAATAAACTGTCGAATTACTTGGACTAAGAACTAAATCTATTGTATTTAATACAAGTACTACTACTAACAAAATATATATGTGTATAGGATAAACTTATGAACCAAACTTATAAATAAACAATGAGCATTAGCAACTTGACCCATAACTTTCTCTAGACTAAGCATGTAACATGAACTATTTTATATGATTGGCACTAGGCCTCCCAATACTGCAGATTTTTGTAAACCTCCTATTGATAAAAAATGTATATAGTGATTTGTATTTTTCAGTCTATGTTTTTGAATATTTTATTCTTTTTTAAATAAAGTTAAAATTGTGATGTGTGTTTGAAATGTGTGATTAATTATGGCAGATTTTATACCAAAAATTGGAAAAATATCATATCTCTATGTTTAATGTGGAATATTATTTTATTATTACACCTTAAACATAATGTCTGTATAAAATTATAGCATATTTTATTATAATTCCAAAAACATATGATAAGTGCATAACTTTCATAAAAAAAAATAATAATTTTAGTTTTTCTGAAAAGCATATTTTAGTAGGAACTCCCTCCCTCGTCGAACCTCTGTCAGATGTGCCAAAATGTGCAGAATGGATGCTGCTAGTAGCAATTTTTTAACTGTTTGCCACAGGATTGAGATTAACTTATAAATTCTTCCTAGGTATAGTTATAATTTATCTGAAATTAAAATTTTAATTGTTTATACAATGTGTATTTTCAGAGTGAACAAGATTTACCCTATGAAGAAGAAATATTGAGAAACCCGTTTTCTGTAAAACATTGGCTTCGTTATATTGAACATAAAAAAGGAGCACCCAAAAATGAAATTAATATGATATATGAAAGAGCTTTAAAAGAGTTACCTGGCTCCTTTAAACTATGGTATAATTATTTAAAACTAAGGCGAAATCAAGTTAGGGGTCGCTGCATCATTGATCCTTGTTATGAAGATGTCAACAACTGTTTTGAAAGGTCTTTAGTGTTCATGCACAAGATGCCTAGAATATGGATGGATTACTGCACATTTTTGACAGATCAGTGTAAAATCACAGGCACAAGAAAAGCCTTTGATAGTGCATTAAGAGCTTTGCCTATTACACAACACCATAGAATATGGCCGCTTTATCTTAACTTTCTAAGAAAACATGACATCCCTGAAACTGCTGTCAGAGTATTTAGAAGATATTTGAAATTGTGTCCGGAAGACACCGAAGAATATATAGATTATTTAATTTCCATAAATAAACTAGATGAGGCTGCTTTGAAGTTGGCTCAAATAGTAAACAATGAAAACTTTCAATCAAAGCATGGTAAATCTAACCATCAGCTCTGGAATGAATTATGTGAATTGATATCTAAAAATCCAGATAAAATTCATTCCCTCAATGTGGATGCTATTATTAGAGGAGGACTTAGACGTTATACTGATCAGTTAGGACATTTGTGGAACTCTCTCTCAGATTACTATGTACGAAGTGGCCTTTTTGAAAGAGCTAGAGATATTTATGAGGAAGCAATTCAAACTGTAGCAACAGTAAGAGATTTTACTCAAGTGTTTGATGCATATGCACAATTTGAAGAACTTAGTTTAAATAAAAAAATGGAAGAAGTTGCAAGAAAAACAAATCCAACTGAAGATGATGATATTGATTTGGAACTTAGGCTTGCAAGATTTGAATACTTAATGGAGAGAAGGTTATTGCTCCTTAATTCAGTACTTCTTAGACAAAATCCACATAATGTTACTGAATGGCATAAAAGAGTTAAACTATATGAAGGGAAACCCCATGAAATTATTGATACTTATACAGAAGCTGTACAAACAGTAGATCCCAAATTGGCTGTAGGTAAACTATACACATTATGGGTTGGATTTGCAAAATTTTATGAAAAAAATGAGCAAATAGAAGATGCTAGATTGATATTTGAAAAAGCAACACAAGTCCTTTATGCAAAAGTTGATGATTTAGCTTCAGTATGGTGTGAATGGGCAGAAATGGAAATTAGACATGAAAACTATGAAGAAGCTCTTAAGTTAATGCAAAAAGCCACTGTTTTACCTAGTAGAAAAGTTGCTTACCATGATGACACTGAAACAGTACAAATGCGTTTATATAAGTCACTCAAAGTTTGGTCAATGTATGCAGATTTAGAAGAAAGTTTTGGTACATACAAATCTTGTAAAGCTGTCTATGATCATATTATTGATTTAAAAATAGCCACACCACAAATAATTATAAATTATGGACTTTTCTTAGAGGAACATAACTATTTTGAAGAAGCTTTTAGAGCCTATGAAAAAGGTATAGCTCTATTCAAGTGGCCTAATGTTTATGACATCTGGAATACATATTTAACTAAATTCCTGAAAAGATATGGTGGAACAAAACTAGAAAGAGCAAGAGACTTATTTGAACAATGCCTTGAACATTGTCCTGCAGAGTTTGCAAAATCAATATTCCTTCTTTATGCAAAACTGGAAGAAGAACATGGTCTGGCAAGACATGCGATGTCTGTCTATGAAAGAGCTACCACATCAGTACTTCCTGATCAGATGTTTGAAATGTTTAATATTTACATTAAAAAAGCTGCAGAGATTTATGGTGTACCAAAGACGCGACAAATCTATGAGAAAGCAATTGAAACTTTACCTGAGGATAAAGCTAGAGAAATGTGCGTTAGATTTGCTGAAATGGAAACACGATTGGGTGAAATTGATCGAGCTCGAGCTATATATGCTCATTGTAGCCAACTATGTGATCCTAGAATCACAGCAGAGTTTTGGAATACTTGGAAAGAATTTGAAGTTCGACATGGTAATGAAGATACAATGCGTGAAATGTTAAGGATAAAGAGAAGTGTACAAGCAACTTACAACACACAAGTAAATATGATGTCTGCCCAAATGTTAAGTTCAGCAGCACAAGCGGCTGGTACTATTTCTGATCTTGCACCAGGTATGAAGGATGGTATGAGAATGCTAGAGGCTAAAGCAGCAGAGATGGCAGTACAAAACAAAGGTAATATTATGTTTGTACGTGGTGAAACACAAGGCCTTAAAGAAAGTTCAGAGAAAGTAGTAAATCCTGATGAAATAGACATTAATGAAGATTCAGAAAATAGTGATGATGATGATGATGGAGAAGTATCACCAGTTCAAAAGAAAGAGATCCCGGCTGCTGTGTTTGGAGGTCTCGTTCGAGAAAATAATGTATAAGTTTAATTAAATATCCATTAATAAATCAACTTTTTATTTATAAACATATTCAGTTACACTTTAATATTTATATTGAATTACTCTTTCCTATACACAAACCATTATTATTTACAACTGAAATCACAGAACATTGTATTTTATATAATGAAATTCATTAGTGAAAAGTAATAAGTTTAAGCAAATATAAGGTATTATTATTCAATTGCAAAATAAAAAATTGAAACTACTACAAATATAAAATTTTAAAAGTTGCACATAAAAAAATTATGATAATTTCTTCCTAATTTGTAATTAAGCATAATATATTTACATACATAATTTGATACTGCACAGTTTATTGGCATTTCAAGTGCTTTCTTAAAGTGACATTATCACACAGATTTTTTTTATATTCAATAATCATATTACATCTCTTGGAGGTGTAATGAAATGGAGTGAATTAGAATACATACTTTGGTGTTCATTATAATTTAAAACACTAATATCATTGTGAACACCTCCAAACATAATCAATTCGCCATTTCCTTTTACTAAAGAATACATGACTAATTCTTCTGGAGCTCCATTCATCTCTCCCAAGCGAGGACATAACCAAGACACATAATTAAGAGAGTTTCCATCTATGATACTTGAAATATCCAACACATGCATAGTTAATGTATTTCTTTTTATTTTCTTGACAGCTGGTTGCCTTTGTTGTGGATTTGGTGGGGGAGGAAGTGGTTCTCTTCTATTTTCTAAATTAGCAATTTGTCTTTGATTTATGAGATCATTTTCAGGTGATGTATTATTTAAAGATGAATCACAAGCAAATGCTGCCATCCGGTATTTGTTAGCTTCTTGTAATTGTCGTACAATCTTCATACCTTTATTCTGAAAATAAAACATTATAAATTCACATAGTGGTAAAAAAAAATCATTAATTATAAATTATTGCACCTTACCTTATTTTTGTTTCTTCTAAAAGATGAATCTTTTCTTATCAAATCAGCACTATTACTTGCTTGTTTCATTTCAGAGCTAGGTCCTGGAATATTATTGGCTTCACAGCTGGCATTTTCATCAGATACCACTAGATTTTGATTTCTAATTTGCTCATTACTGGGACCAGCTATTGGTTCATTTGGATTATTTTCCTGTACTTGCCTTGCCAAGGCTTGTCTAGGTAAAACACCTCTTCTTCCATTTATATTTTGATCTCTATCTAATGGTCTTTGTAAGCTTTGTTCCACTCTAACTGATACAGGTGCTCCTTCTGGTCTACTTAAAGCTGATAAACGAACAGCTGATGTGACTAATGGTTTGGCACAATTCCATCCATTTCTACTTCTACTCAAACTAACAACTTTATCTCCAACCCTACATGCAGGATTACACCATATATTAGCAGCTGCCCATTCTTTATTTTTCACGGCCAGTTCTTTCCAGGTCCAAGTAGGTCCTTTCATTGTTAAAATCCAACAATCATTATAAATAAACCGGTTATGCAAAGTCTGGACGCCTCCCAATAACATCAACCTTTCAGAGTCTAATCGAATTAATGATTGTGCATATCTTGGTGATGGTCTAGGTTTGGTAGTAGGCTGTTTTCTCCAGGTTAGAGTGGGTAAATCAAGTACCCAAACATCATTAGAACATTGTATTTGAAGGTTTTGTGTTGCTGACATTACCATCCCACCAAATACTACCATTTCATCTCCTTTCATGCAAGCAGAATGCCCTGCCATTGGAGGTGGGCTATTGATGGAATTAATCAATATCCACCTATTAGTGTTAACACAATAAAAATGTATCTCATTAAACATAGTTGTATTCTGATAATATTGTGATAATGAAGGGTAAGCCCATCCCCCAAATACTATCAAACAGTCTTTATAATGTACCATGGAAGTATATGCTTTTGGTACTGGATATGTTCCTGTGGCCAATGGCCTTATCCATTGGCGAATAGACAGATCAAAACGCCACAGGTCATTAAATGATGTAGCATTAGTAGTACAACCTCCAAATATGTACATATTGTTTTCAAGTACACACGCTGCATGTGAAAATCTTTTTGTTATTGTAGGTCCCATGTCAACTGGGGCAATATTTTTCCATAATATATTGAATTCTCCTACTGCTTTAATGAGTTTTAAAGATGTTTTACGTAAGACATCTGAAATATAAGTTAAGAACACTTAGATACTCAAAAAATTATTGAAAAATAGTTTATATAAGACTACTAAAATTTACTCTCTGAAATTTGACTCTAAAATTTGTATATGCTAGTCCAATGTAATTAATTTCATTAAAATTTGTTAAGTGATTTTAGTCATAAATACAAACAAACATCATAACATGTGAAAAAAGTACAATTCTATTATTGCTCCAATTTCACAAAATTTAAAGTTTTAAATTGGTTTAGATCTTCACCTCGTCCTATTTATAAAAATAACCACACAACTTAGAACCAGACAAAAGATGTAATTTAATATATAAATTATAGCATCACAAATTCAACTTTATATACAAATGGCTAGTGGGTATAATTAGAGTAAAATATGTAAAAATAAAGTTACTTAAATAAAAATTACACTAAGTAAATGGTTACGAGTTTTCAAAAAGTAACAAAGAATATAGATGTAGACAAGACTCACTTTGAGCACAGTTATACCATCGTTTACAAACAGTCATACAATTTTGTAAGTCTTTGTAAGGAGGCAAAAAACTCAATATAAATTCCAATACTTCATCTGGAAGATCCTCAATAGTACTACGCAGAGTTTGTTGTCGTAGGGATCTGTGTATAACTTCCATGTTTATTATATTTAATTTTATAATATTTGAATGGCGTCGATTTATATTTCAAAAGACAACATTTTCATAGCGATCATGAGAAAATAGATGTACAAAACAGACAAAAATCTTGAAAATGTACAAGAGCAAATAACATTGAGACTGACAATTTGATCAGTGTTGCCAAATATATATTAAGTTTCTTGGCTAAATATAATTTAAAATGAGTGGATTGCAACGTCCCTTTTAAAACATGACTAAAAGCTTTACTGCAACCCACCTACCGAATGTAAAAACTACTGCCAAAACCCCTCCAATAGAGGTAGGCCTATGTTCAGAAAGTGGACAGATAATAGCAAATATGATGATAATAATTTAAAAAGAGCTAAATTGAATCAAAACATAATCAGTAACTTATTTGTATTTTTTATTTTTTATACGACTTAGAATGGCAAACAAGCTGACGACCCACCTGATGGAAAGTGATAACCGTCGGCTATAGACATGAGCAGTACCATGGAAATATTATACTGTTTCGCCCATAATACTTCCTATACATTGTCATTACTGAGGACTCAGATACTTTGTACCTTGTAAATTCACTGCCATATCCTACCCTTCAAATTATGGGGAAAGTGATTATTAGTAATGAGGAGGTTAGTCCCCATTGCTATTATTAGTCCATACAATGGAATTATGGAGAAATTTTCCCATTGCTATCAATGATAGGTCGACCTCCACGTGGTTCCTGCTGGAAACCATCATAGCTAATACTTGTTGAATTTGTCACAATGGGCTAACTGATCTACTTCATCATCACCTATCATCACTCACTGATGCCCCGCCAATGTATACCGATAGCGCAGACGGAGGTATCATTCCATTACCACCTATTAAAAAAACCTTCAAACTGAAAAACAGCTATGCAAATACAACTGCTTCACGGTAGAAACATGAATGGACAAACAATTTTTGTACAAAATCTCCCTCTGCTGAATACCTTTATAGTAGGGTTACATGGCCGTATAACCCTACCAAATTCAGATACGTCCTGCCTGCATACCTTCTACATAAATCGTGTCGAATATATAATCTAGTAATGTAAAATTTGTCATTAACAAGTAATTGACATTACAGATGGGCAAAGCACCGGGTTTAAACCCGGTGCTTTGGTAAAAACCCAATAAACACCCATAAACACCCAAAAAAATAGGTTTTTACGTATTTTTTTGAAAATATGTAAGTAATACCAATAAATTATTTTTATAAATTGTATTGATCAATTCTACAATATTAAATAAAACGTTAACTAATAATATTTCAGGAAATTTTAAAAATCTATATATAATAAAATGAAAGTAATTAATTTTCAGTGTTTTCATGTTGCAGTTGATCAACATGTTGGCCTTTTGCTTCCCGTAGATACTTTAAAATTTCTTCATAACACCTCGTTCGCACACATGGCCGTATATATTTAAATTCTTGAGCCACTAACAGTCCGAAATACTCATTTCTTTTATCCTCTTCTCCATAAATTAAGCATTTAGAACAGTTTGTTTCTTCTTTCAGTAAATTTTCTTTTACTTTATCCTCGTTTTTTTTTCTTTGTTGCGACGACGCTGGGTAAATCATCTGGACACTGGGTCTCACTATCGCCAAATATATTTGGAGATCGGCTTCGGCTACGGCTTGGCAGACATTTTTTTCTTTCTACAATTTTAAATTAAATTTATTAGAATAAATGCTTCGAACACACGCGATCTAAGTACCTTTTGTGTTTATTATACCTTACCTACCTAGGTATAAAAAGAGTACTTACGTAGATTTTCTTTTATTAACTGTTTTATACGAAGATCTTGATCTCTCAAATTAGCATCCATTTTACTTCCAGTGATTATCAACTAAATTAATAATCCACAAAGTATTAAATAACGTTTTTATGAAATATTTAGCACAAAAACAATACCCTTTAAATATCGATCGTCAGTAACTGTGGCTGACTTACCTATATTCTAGCAAGCAGGACTGCCAGATGTGAAGGGGAAATCCCCAATAAATTGTTGCATGTGACTGATGATGTGAGCATGTTCGTTTCATAATAAAAATGTTGCCAGGTAACCAAAAAGTCGTATGTTTTTGTGCGAATTACGATCATAATCTTTACGATCGTACATTAAAAAATAGACAAATAATAGTATGAGTACGATTTAAATCGTATATCTGTCAACCCTGCTAGCAAGACAGCGACAAAATCACGTTGCATAACAATGTAGCCCAAGCTTATATCTTATGAAATATACGGAAGAGATACGGACTTAGAAAAAACAGAAATGTTGTTCTTTGTGGAAGTCATTGATGAAATTCTATGTATTTTAGCCCGCAAACTTTCTTCAAACAAAAACAGCGCCATCTAGTATCGAGTTCTGTAATTATCTCTTTGTTTATGGATTTGAAGTAAGACCGCCACGCATGCAATACATTATGACTGGGGATTCCCCTATTCGTCGACGCTGAATATGAGGCGACGACAATCACTGTCAAACGTGTTCACTATTACTCTGACTCTGGTAACGTGACTTCCTGGTAACGTGTTAGGTAGGAAAAGCAGTAAAAAAGTGCATATTAAGGGAGCAGATTTGAAATAATATTTATACTTAACAAGAAATAATTAAAGGTAAGTGGATTTTTGAATGATACAATTATATCATGATCACTTAACAATTTTAACTTAAAATTAGATGTATTATTACAAGCTTTTATTTAGCTTGCGTTATGTAAATAAAAGTATGTAGGTATGTTCGTATGTTGATGCAATTATCCTCAATCCTCAACCGACTGGGATAAAATTTTCCATACACGTTTATTTTGGATGATAGTGCATAGTTAGCTGAGAGTCGTCATTGGATAATAATGGTGGATAGCCTAAGATGTGTACTAGATATTTATTTTTAACATAATATGCGTAAGTACCTAATCGAATTAAAGAAGTTGCTGAGAAAAATACAGAACAATACGATAATAAACTAGCGTCTGCGTTTAATCCTCCGAGGAGATGTAATTTTACAAAGGTTTTTTGTATTTATTTTATTATTTTTTTAATAAATTTATTGTAAATAACAAGAAATAATCATTGTAAAAAAATAGGCACTCTATTGTTGAATTTTCGTCAGACCAACTAATCATCGTTCATTTTTTTAGGTTCAATGGGGAGACCTAAAGATTTACGCATATGGGAGCACTACCGTACTTTACCAAACAAGTCTGTTTCTTGCAAGCTTTGTAATAAGGTCTACAAATTCAGTAATGCTGCCAAAATGCTTCAACATCTTATCACTTGTCCAAAATCTCCAGAAACATTAAAAGACTCTATGAAACTTATAAAAGATAGCTCGTCCAAAACCAAAATGTCTGGACTGTCAGAGATAGAGACAAATGATTCTTTTATAAGCCCCTCGTCGTCTGCTAACACTACAATAAATGCTGAGTTTCAAGACACCGATGATCATATAAAAACAGAATTAGCGAGAGCTATATTTGTAACAGGGACGCCATTATCGATGGTGCAACATCCTTTATGGATACAATTTTTCGAAAAATTGCAACCAAAATTTAAAATACCTTCACGTAAAGCTTTAGCGACAAAATACTTAGATAAAATATATAGAGAAATGCGTTTTGAGTTAAATGAGGAACTAAATGCTTGTAGTTACTTACACCTTCAGTGCGATGGCTGGTCTAATTTAAGAAATGAAGGAATAATAAACTTTCTTATATCAAAACCTCAACCTGCATACGTTAAAAGTTTGAATACAGAAAGTAATCCTCACACTAGTGAATACCTTAGCCAAGAAGTTGAAAAAGTAATGAAAGTGTATGGAGCAAATAAGTTTCTTGTACTTATTGGCGATAACGCTAGAAATATACAAAAGGCATTCGAATTAACAAAACTCAAATATCCACATGTTGTTCCTCTCGGTTGCTGTGCACATATCCTTAACTTGTTGTGCCAAGATATTGTAAAGATACAAGAAGTAACTGTGTTTATTATGCAAGCCATAAATATAATAAAAACTGTTAAAAGGAGTCAACGATTAAGTTCCTTGTTGATAAAATCAAGGCAGGGTGAAGATTCTACACAAACACTAAAATTGCCTTGTGCTACAAGATGGGGAAGTCATGTTACTTCGTTAAAAAGTTTGAAAGCAAATAAGATAGCTTTGCAAATATTAACAGTTAGAGAAGATGTGGTAATTTCAAGAGATATTAAAGATTTAATTCTAAGTGATGATTTCTGGACGAAGACAGGGGAATGTATAAGTATTTTGGAACCAGTCACTGAAAGCATATTTTACTTAGAGAGCGACCAGAATCGTTTGCATCGCACATACATTACATTTAGAGATGTACAAGCTAAGATACGTTTTGCATTAAATGAGATTTCGACATTGAGCGAAGAAAGCAAACAGCAGATTCTAACATCAGTATCTTCAAGATGCAATATGGCAATGAGGCCAATACATTTTGCAGCATATATTCTAGACCCCAGGACTCTAGGAGTCGAACTTACTCAAGAGGAAGAACTTAAGGGTATGGAGTTTATCTACAATTTAAGCCAACACTTAAGTTTGTCAAATGTAATGGCAGATTTGGCGTGTTATAAAGCTAAAGAAAACTTTTGGGCCAGAGGATTTGTATGGAGCTCATTAGATAGCATTGAGCCCCTAATATGGTGGAAAGGTATTTGTGGTTCCACTGAGTTAAGCAAAGTAGCGATTCGTATTCTATCAGCTCCCTGTACTTCGGCAGCCACTGAGCGTTCCTTTAGTATCCAAGGCTACATACATAATAACAAAAGAAATCGACTTACAACTGAAAGAACTGAAAAAATTTCATTCATTTGTTATAACTGGAATCTTAAACATAAAGCTGAATGCGAGGACATTCAGTTTAATGAAGAAAATACCTTAGAAGCTTTCATTGAGCAAGTAAATGAACATAACAGTTTAGACGAAATAGAGCCTATCGAACCTATACAATTCATCGCTTGTAATAACTCTGAATCTGACAGTGATTGACTGTAGTTTTACATTTTACTTTCATCTCTTTCTTAATAAACTCAAAATCAAATTAAAAGTTTTTTATTCTGTAGGCTGCATAATAATATTGTCTATGTCCAGTATAGTGGACGTCTTGCGGCTGAGATGACGATGATGAAGTACAAAATCATAAACACCCAAAAATTTGGGTGTTTATGGGGTTTAAACCCAATAAACCCAAAACACCCGGTTTTTACCCACCAGACTTTAAACCCACCCAGGTGGATTGCCCATCTCTAATTGACATATCAAAAATTTTCTATACACTAGCCTGCTATGAATTGACAAAAGTAGCAACTGATTGTGTATTTTTCGTCTTCTTTTTACTAATTATATTTGCATAAGAAGAAAGGAGGTAACCAAATGATTTACAATTTTTATTTTATCATTCCTTCTATGTAATTTATTGTTCTTAGCTTTCTATATAAACTGTGTTGAATATATAATCTATTAATATAAAATTTATCATTAACAAATAAGTGACATAACAACCAAGTGACAAATATTTTCTATACACTAGCCTGCTATGAATTGAGGAAAATAACAAGTGATGGTGTATCTTCGTCCTCTTTTTACTAATTATATTTGCATAAGAAGGAAGGAGGCAACCATATGATTTATAGTTTTTATTTTATCATTCCTTCTACATAATTCCTTGTTCTTAGCTTAAAGAAGGGGTTTTTAAACTTTTAACATAATATAACACCCACCAAATACCTTTTATTTTATGGAACCCCATATATTTTAAATAAAAACAAAAGCTTATATTAGAAATATTTTAAAAGTATAACACTTTATAGTTTACTCTAATTTTTAACGTGAAAAATGTAATTGTTTCACTGTATAAATAATTTCGTAGAACCCTGGTGACTGTTTTACGGAATCCCTAGGTTCCACGGAACCCACTTTAGAAATTGCTGCCATAAAGGTTCTACAACCAAGCCATTACCTATATTAAAAAACATAAAGTCAGTGTCACTGAAGTTCAATAAGTCAGTCAATTATGCCCTTTGGCTGTCATTGTTAGCAGTCATTCTAAATTAACCGGGAATTTCAAGTAGTCCTTTCGTGAATCGCGTATGATTGAATCACTGTTTATATTAAATAAATAAATTACATAATAGAATGGCAATTGTACCAGTTTTATAATATTTGGAATGTTAAATAAATACAATAACAGCTTTTTATTATAAATACTTTGACACATAACCTAAGATTCATATTTCTCAAGGCAACTTTAGTGTAAATAATAAAAGTGGACGGAATTTGTGTTGAACTCTGTAAAAATGCAACTTTTAATTCAAGCTAGACCCTTATTAGATAAATTGAAACATTGGCGTCAAGCATTATCTTTCAGTGAAGTTCATTTAACAACATCTCAAAAGGTTAGATTTTTCTTACATTGTTTACTGTGATTGTATATTTAATTTTCCTTTTATAATGTATTGCTCTATAAACAGGTTGTGTTATGGAGCATAGGAGTTGTGGGAACAAGTGCTATTGTTGTTGGAGTATTATCAAAGTACTTGGCAAGAAAACGAGCAAAGCCAATTCTGAATCCAAGGATTCAGAGGGCCATTAATAAAAGAATTTCACGTATGAGAAGTCCTAATGGAGGTAAGTCTTCTTTTTAGTATGTTTTTTAGAATATATGATACATTTACATTCGGAAAAAAATGTCTAATTTTAATTAATCAAATAATTTTAATTTTTTTTATTACATTATTTTGGGATACACATTTACACACATTATAATTAATAAATTGCAGTTAAAATGATTTTTTTACCCTTTTTTCTATGTGCCCTTTTTAGCTATAATCAGACCTGTTGTATTATAATTATCTCCTATCAAGAGGCATATTCAGAGATGCTATATCAAACAAATAAAATTTTTAAAAGCTACTTAGTGAATATCTATTGAGTTTAGATAAGTAGTTATTTACATCCAGTAACTTCATGGTCGGCTAGTTTAATGGCATTTTAGTCTCTATGTATAAATTACAGGTTCTCTGTTATTCCTTGATAGTTGGGATCTCTACTCATTTACTTTTTTATAATTTAGAGTGCTTTTCTTATAGTTTTTGTTTCTGAAAATGTTGCATGCCCATCCCCAAAGTTCTATAACATACACCCATATTTTCATTATGATACACTTATTAATGAGTTTATTTTCAAGGCTTAATGAAAATTGTCTGTCCAATAATCAGTATATGTCTTTAAACTTTTTTATTAAAGTGTTCTTTTTTTTGTTTTTCTTATTCATTTTTAAATGCTCTTTCCATATGGGCCTTCGTTTCTAATGAATTCCCAAATATTTAGCTGTTGATTATTGTAGTCAACTTATTAAAATAATTAACATATTTTAGAGACATAATGTAATTTTCTGTATCAAATGTAAAAAAAAATTATAACAAATATTATATACTATATTAATATAAGTATTCTCACCTAAAGATTACCTATTAGTTGTAGTATTGTTTAAATATACAATCAAGAATCTTTTTATATGAAATTTAAACTATTCTATGTTAGTATCCTGATTTCAAATTTTGATTTTGTAAGTATATTTGTAGTAAAATAAATAAACATACATAATATTTTTTTTATAAAAATGTAACATATCTTGTGAGGAACTTTGCTAATACTATAAATATGGGTTTGATACCTTGATATTTGAGATACACATACATTTGAGTTGGAGAAGCACATCTTATCTTTTATTAATATATGGGGTCAACTAAGCCATTGCACGTCGACCTATTGGGATCTTTTGTGCTGCCCCCTGCCTTATACTTTCATTTTATAAATTCTTTGTGTTACCTTAACAATATCCCGCAGTTTAAGTCTTGACTTTGGATTAGCTGTTCCCAGTAAGTAGACTTGCCCATTGGCAAGTCTACTTACTGGGAACTCAAAAATCTGTGATGACATACTTGCCAATGGATTTTTCATTACTTTTAATCCTTATATGTCCAGGGATCCATATAAAGAAGGACATAGGTTACTATTAATTCTTAATCAATTTATTTAATTTTTTTTATGCATAATAATAAAATAGTGACCCTGCCTGCACTATTTGTATACATTGGCGGGGCACCAGTGAGGGATGATAGGTGAAGTTGAAAAGGCAGGTCGGTTAGCCCATTGTGATAAATTTAATGATCAATTCATTTTTCGGAAAGAATTTCCACTGAATTTTCAGTTTGGAATAATAGTCTGAATTCACTGTTTTTGCCAACCTGGAACAGGTTATTTATTCCTCTTCATTCAAAGGTTGCCTGGAAAAAATCGCTTTCTGCTATAAAGCCACCCATTGTTTACTCTGTGTGATAATTTCTTGCAATTGTTTGTATTTATAATAAATTTACTACTATAATCTTTTGGAGGAAACAATAAAGAGTATCTATCTATCTGAAATAAATTGAAATGTTTAATTGATATGATATTCCATTATCATTTTTTCATCCTTATTTTAGTGAAATGTTATATGTTTTAATGTTAACATTTGTTATATTTTTAAGGTATGGGATCAGTTGCTAGTAGTGGTGGCCGTAGCAGTCCACTTGGGTTTAGTGAACGGCTCTCACTTGCTTCGGGATCTCTCGGTTCTGGTGGTGGAGATGCAGCGCCACTTTCACCACAGCAACTTGGCGTTATGGGTAAGCATTAATACACAATTTCAAATGTTGTGATTACAACGCCATCTATTGTATAGTAGGAAATATTTTTTTTTATATTCAGTGGCCATGTAAATTCATTATAATAACTGTTAGGCCACTTAGTTTTTAGTTTGTTAAGTTTTTTTCAGCTTTCATTTAGCATTTTTGAGTTTGGTTAGTTTATCTAATTAATATTATATATATTAATGCATCATTAATTAAATTTTTTATTAGTTAATTATTGTTGCCATGTGGACCCGGCATAAAATAGGTTACCCTTTCCATTCCCGTGGTTGTCGTAAGAGGCGACTAAGAGAACTTAATAGTTGAGAGATGGGCAGCATCTCTCCTAAAACATCACCAAAAGCCTAACTGAAGTTGCCAACCTGCCCACCAAGGGTGGCAACTACTAATATGATGATGATAGTCTCTTTTCCTTCTATATTTACTTTTTAAATTGGTATTCATTAACTCAATTTATTAAAATTAATATGGTATTTTTATAATTATTATATATTTTATATTAAGAATACTACTGTATGTATATTGAATTTTTATTTGACAATAATTATATTTTTGTTTGTAACAAATTTTTTACAGCGCCATCTATTATTAAGTAGCAAAACGTCGTCTACATATGCTTTTAAGAGATAAAGTTTTAATATAAACGATAATATCTAGGTGGCAGGAATTATAATCCACAAACTATATTCGAAATAATTCATTTTTTTAATTAATTTTTAATTCTTACATGACTATAATAAGTATATTAATAATAAATGTATATTATATATTTTAATTCTCATAATTATTAACAAGGCCTACAACTTTAAAAAATAATAAATGATCATATAACTTTTAATTGAGTCTAGTTCATAATTAAAAAGACTGTGTTCCGATTATATCAATATTATCAAAATAGGTTAATATAATTTTAGAATTTACATATTTAAACAAATTATTGATGTGTCTCTACTTATAAATAAAAGGTTTCAAACTTATAAAGGTCTTATTTTTGCAACGGGTTTTAAATTTTTATGCGAACAAAATCATAAACAAATGTCTACTAAAATATGCAAATTCTCAACGTTGTTATCATTACGTTTATTATGTTAGCATTCAAAAGTCGTATTTTATGCATACAATTAGCTAAAGAACGAACTCGTGTCGTCTACAATTTATGCTTCGTTTGTTGAGTGTTACGTGACATAGCTACTGAATGTTTAATCGGATAGATTGTTTGGTAGGGCTAGGCGCCATTCCATTTTAAGACCCAATTCTTTAAAAGTACTACCAACAAGTAGTTTTGGTGCGTAAAAAATAGAATGATTAGTTACCTGAGTTATTAGTTTCATGTAATAAAATACTAATGAAGGACGATATGGTAGATAAAGATAAAATATTCGATCACGGCGAATTCATCAGGGATTACTCACGATGATAGTAGGAGGAAGTTTATTAGTAATGAGATCGAATGAACCAACTGTACTGACTTCATCCTCATTTGTCATCTCTCATTGGTACTCTACCAGTGTACACCGATAGCGCAGGTGTAATTACTATTTCAATGTCATATTTAAAATAAACATCTGTATTGGCTTTCAGGGAGTACTATTATAACATTTTTAATTCAAAAACCGCCTTACTTTCTTGGACAAAGATACTCCTTTAGAAGTACAAGAAGTTCTTTTCTATAAAACTACTGTAGTAAATTTTTGCTATTTTGTGTGGGATGCGAGTAGTCAGATTGTTTTAATAAGTATTAAATAATTTATCTAGTAAGTTATTATGATACATAAGTAATAGTTTAGAACAACTATAGAGTTTTATTCATTATTAGGTATCAACTTTCCAAACACGCGCATATTTTGATGATAATAATTTTAATCTTTGTAATAGCCAATCTTAGGTCTCGACTGACTCACCTCGACCTACTACAAAAATACATTATATTAAATGTTCTATCGTCAATCTGGTCGAGATAACGTGTTTGTTAAATATTAAGATTCTTGTTGCATACTTCATAATAACCAATTGCCTTTCAATTATGACCTTTACGACTTCTATATTGTAAAAGCTCTAGATCTTTTAATTAGTCATCAGCTGCGTATTTTAATCAAAGGATGATTGAATTAAATTTATTTTTATGACTCTAGACTTTTCTATTTCAAGACGATTTATCTCCAATCGAGAAAAAGTTAGGTGTGTTAACTTATAATATGCGACAAAATAATTCGATATAGAGTTTTTTGAAACTAATTGAAGACATGCAAACTACAAAACACAATCAAATAATATTATATTATTAATAATAATATACTATTTTTGCAATTTTATTGCTGCTGCTGCAGCAGTAAGATTACGAAAGTTCTTAAATGGAAAATTTACATTTAAAATAACGGACATCCTTGAAAAATCTAACTTATCATATTAAATTTAAGTAATCGTAAGCATCAAGCAGGCAATACATAATGGTATAAAAAAAAAATAGAAACATAAAATTATCGTGCCTATTTAGTTATTTCCATGCAAATTATCTTTTTGTACGAGTTATATACATGCAGTACATAATACATATTATTTTACAAATTTAAAAGTATTTCCTAAACTCTATATATCTCTATCCGTTGCACTTCTGAAATATTAGGCAAAGACTAAGAGATAGTCTAAAGTAATACAAGGTTACATTGGTACAAATAAAAACCTTGTTGGTGAAGTCTCAAGTACTTATTATTTGATTATAAATGTTTTTTAGTTGGAACTCAGTGGTTTACCTTATACAATCTACGTTCCAGCTACAATTTCTACATACCTGCACACATTGAAGACGGTGTACTCTTGAGTCTAGACATGACGTGCGCAATAGCCTGTCTCAGCACTCCAGACTTGTCTTAGTATACGAGAGGAGGACTTGTCGTTACCCAAAATAATTACAAAGGCGTGAAATACAGAATTTTTATTATTATCATGAACTGCCCTAGCAAAAGTCACCATTCCGTAATCATTAAAATCGAAGTTGATAAAGATATTGCGTAGTTTAGTGAAAACCTTATTTATTTATTTAAACTTTATTAACCAATAAAATGTGATACAAAACCTTCTGTTATTTAAACTCTGTTATATGTGAACAATTATATTAGGCATGACAGAAAGCCAAATAATATATTCAAGCAATTAGTAAATTTTGTTTGTTTTTTACAACTTTAACTGTTCAACTAGCTACAACTAGCTTTCGACGACTAATCGAATATTTCGAGGCCCTTAGAGTTTCGAAAAATTACATAAGCTGTTTTCATTTGGATAACATATTTATCACATTTCTTAAATAAAAGTTGGTAACACTTGTTCGACCTTGTTTACTACGTTCTGATGAGAACGTATTGTTATCAACTTCTGATTTTTGTATATTTATAGATCTTTGAGTTTAGGTTAGGTCATTCGATTTCAATATTATAGGCAAATATATATATTCTATATAAGAAAAACACTATCTTTTTTATCCGATTTTTCAACACAATATTGAGCGTGGTCGCGGAAAATGCTACTTTTACTTCTAATCGTATTTTACATCCATGGATTAGATAGAATGTATTCGTAGTGATAATGGATTTTTTAATTTCCATTTACTATTGCTCTCTGTCATGATCTTACCTATTTACTTTTATTAATTTTAATTATTTATAGTTAACTGATAACACAAAAGACGTCTTGTTTAGTAATAACAATGACATTAGGTTTATATGCAAAGGTAAGTGTGTTACCTTTGTCTGTGTTGCAGTTAATATTACTATTATTCAGCAACTCTTATAGTAACAATCTAACCCCTAAAAAAAAAAAAACTAAATGAGAAAATAAATATTACTTACTCGTAATTAAAATTTTCAAGTAGTAAATTTCATTGACCATGGTAGTCGATATAGGTAGCTAGTTTCTATCAGACTTCTATAGAAAAGTTGACGTTTAAAATAAGACATCTGTATTACGTACTTATTCATCATATTTACATCCACAATTTTGTAGATCGAATAGAATCATACCTTGTTTAAGTTATAATAATATTTCAATCTGCTTAATGTTTTTACTTTGATGTCGATGTAAGCATCTGATTAGGCATGAATAGACAGATCTTCGATATTTTATTATTCTATGTAAATTCGTTCGAAGGTGCCGAAGTTTTTGAACGAAGTATTCATATTGCCAGCGATATATGGAGAACCTTTCACTGTAGGCTTTAATTTTTAGTGACGCACTCTCGCGCCGTAGTAAATGGCCAGCGCGATCACAACATTCGTCGCTTGTTAACAAGGCTCGTTGGTCTAGGGGTATGATTCTCGCTTTGGGTGCGAGAGGTCCCGGGTTCAAATCCCGGACGAGCCCGCTTTTTGTCGTGTTATTGTTTTAATGTCCATTTATGGTATGTATATTTTTTACTGGTGTATGTATATTTTTTATTACTGCCTATTCACATTACAATTACAAGAATGGTCAACAAATTTTGCTGTTACTTTAAAAAAAAAATTCTACGAGTTATGAATCTGTGTGAATGTAAACTACCAAGCTGTACCGGATCATATAATTTGAGATATTAGCATTCAATTAGAATAAAATAACAGAAGTACTTAATATGCATTGTAATTTACTTAACATGGTTTGTTATTCGTTTCTATTTAAATTTACATGCTGCTGTTTTTTAATAAACGATAAATAAATATCAAATATTAATAGAGGTATGATGTCACCATTTTATCTCTCTATATCTGTACTCGTACTGCGCTTTTCAGTTCGTACCTAAAAACTAGTATAGTATATTACTCGTATTATTATTTTGCTTCAAACTTATTTTTAAAACATTATGTTCACGGTCTTCACACTAAAATAATTTAAAATATTGCTTATCTAAGCAATCTTTAACAAAACGCTGTATAAATGATTAAATATTTTTTAGTTAGTAGATGTTAGTATAATTAATCAGTGTATTAATCTGTGCCTTTTAAGTAAAA